TCCCGACTTGTCCCCTAAACCCGCCCCATGTCCCAGCCCTGTGTCCCCAAGGTAAACCCTAAAGGTCTCATTCTTTGGTGCTCTAAGTGATCCCATGGTGCTCTAAGTGATCTGGTGCTCTAAGTGATCCCCTAACCGTCCTGTTCAGGGATTAAAAAAGTGCCAAGGCAGATTTAGGAATTTGGGTGGCACAGAACCGAACCATTAGTAGTGCTCGTCCAGCATCCTAAAGTGTCATAAACCGTCATGCGGTTCTGGAGGACCCGCGCTCTTGGACACGCTGCTTGACTCCGCAGAGTGACTGCGCTGCAGAGCAATGTACTGTGATTTGGAATTTGGGTATGGATGTGGAATGATGTTCATAGTGGCTTCGTTGAACTTGTATGCATTTGTATTATCTTGTATTCGGCTATTGTTCCAGTGGATTTCCACGGCCGCCATATCGCACCAGAGGCGAGAGCTGCAGAACTTCTGGCCACGGAACCTGGCCGCACACTTGGAGTGCTCAGAAAGTTGATGGATCAATGAGAGAGAGCGAGAGAGAGAGAATATAATATAATATATAATATATAATATTATATAATTATAATATATATATATTAATGAGAATCCGAGTGGATTTGATTAGATATGTATGTTTGTGGAGAAGGCTTGACTTCATCGAGCCACAATCCAAAACTAATTAAATTAATTGTGAGATTCGGCCTTCACGTGTTTCATAAAGTTTAGGTATTTACCGAGCTGACCAACATCACTTTTTGTTCATTGGAATACTTGATTGATTGAGTGGACGTACGTCCCCAGCCACTCATGACTATCGAGTGCTTAATTGATCTTAAGGTCCTAAGGTGTCCTAAGTGTTTCTGCATGTTAGCCTCGCAAGGCCAACACTTTCTGGGGACTGGCGCGCTTGCAGTGCTCGGAAGGTGTGGCCTTGCAATTCAAGTGCTGAATTTGCTGATGTTTGCAAAAAAGGAAGCCAATGCTGGAGTCTCTCAAGGGAAAGTCAAGCTCCAATCTGGATCCCACAATGGGACACTGCCATGAGGCTCTGCTAAGTTTTGCCCCCAAGCAGCTGGAGGCTCAGAAGACCTTCAATAGCTTCGGTGGGGGCAAGCCAGCGGGTGTCAAAATTATTCAACATTTCTGACATCATGCAGCAGCAAGATGTCAGGCAGTCCACGTGTAAGCGCATATTTTTGTGGAAAGTATTGCAAAGGGCCAAAAGGTCTACAACTGTCCTTGCCAAGTCATGGAGTTAGTATATGACGGTGTCCAAAGACACCTCAGGCTTGAGTCACAGAACTTGTGATACTTTCTGCAGAGTGTTTTACATGTAGACTATAATACAGACTTTCATATATAATATAGCATATATGTTCATAATTGTCTATATATATATCATATTAATTGTTTCGTAATTAATTTGATGGTGGTGGATGATGTTTTGCAACTTTGGCGCATCTCTTTTTGTTGTGATTGGCTGCTAAACATGTCCCAGGTCCAGAAGCTTGGGTCTGTTGCCTCACAGATGACACCAGTGGAGCTGGCAGTAGCCTGAGAGGGCCGATGTCCTAATGGAGATACCCTCTCGTAAACTAACATAGCTATTGAAAATGGTGATTTATAGTGGATTTTCCCATTAAAAATGGTGATTTTCCATAGTTATGTTAGTTTACCAGAGGGTATGCCACGTGGATCTCATGTGAGTTCCGTTGTGCGCCTGGCTGGTTCTGAGTCCAACAGTCTTTGGGCGCTGGCGCGTTTACGCCAGCACCTCGAAGTGCTGAGTGTGCCAACCAGAAGCTGTGATGCGGCTGTTTCTCATGTTAGCATCTTTGATGACGTTTGGGCATATTATATCATATTATATATAATTACATCACTCATCAAGAAGGCCACCTGGGCCTAGTCTACGGAAAAACCTAGTCTACGGAAAAAGGTCTAACAGATTAAGAGATATATTAAGAGATGCTTTCCCCGCTTTCCCGCACCTTTTTCTTGTAGATTAACTTTGGACAAGGTGTAGCAGCTGATGACGCAACCTTGGATGCTGTTGTTTGGGTCTCAGTGATTCACAATGCTCAGACAGGATCTGGGGCTTCGAATATCTTCGAATCCAAATCACCTGGCAATGACTAATTAGATCTAATATGATCTAATTAGCATGACCTGGCGAGACCCGGAATGACCTTGTGAAGCTTGCCATCATAGGACTTGACGCGAACAAACTGCAAGATGAGCAGGTGGACTGCAGCCTGTTGACATTTGCGCGCTGGAAGCCTCAGGACAAGTGTGGGCCCGTTCAGCTTCCCGAATCTGCCGTTTAATCCCGAAATGATCTAAATCTAGGCATTTTCCACTCTTTTTTCCATTTTTTCCGAGGCTTGCCCCAGTGACCTTTCTGTCCCAGGGATCAACAGCTCATTGTTTCTCATTCCCATTCAGTGGAAGCCGTGGGAGCATATTTGAGTACGAGATAGTACGAGTAAACTGCTGGTGCTTGGAGTTTCAGATTTGTTTGTGCGCAACGGCTTTCACATGGTTTCGGCATGTTTCACCTATACATATAATATTTCACCTATATATAGATCATAGACCTTTAAGAAACAAATAATTGGGACCCAGGACATTGCAAATGCATTGTGGGCGTTCTCTGCTTCGAACTTAGCATATTTTAGCACCGTCACCACAAGAAAACCATAGAAAACCAAGAAGGACTTGGAGCTTGTGCTAGTGCAGCAGCTGGTCCCGGCATTCTGGTGTGGCAGACAGAAGAAAATTGATTCAAAGTTGCTGTCAAGATCGCTCAAGCACCCAATCTCCGCACCTTCCCGCAGCAGCACCAGGTGCTTCAGTACAAACCAGCAAGTGGCATGCCCAGAGTTTTAGTACTATTTCCATCTATTGCCAAGGTAAGGCGTCCTTCACTTGTTGGACCTTAGAGTGACGGGCAATGAACCACACATGAAGCTTTCCACATTAAGCCACAGTTTTGTCAAAATATACCGTGTGTACTGTATATATATATATGTATGTAATGTAATGTAATGTAATGTTATGTTATGTTATGTTATGTATGTATGTATGTATGTATGTATGTATGTGTGTGTATGTATGTGTATATGTATATGTATGTATATATATATTATATTATTATATGCTATACAATCCGATCTATATCTATGATCAAAATATGTCATAATATGTATATACATGTGTATCTATGGCAAGTGCACATAAAAACTCATCCATTTCAAATGCGTTTCTTTTGCTTTTCGTCCCGGACTGCAAAGCTGGAGGCCACTTCCAGAATGCTATTGCGTCCCGGCTAGCGGCTCAGGGTTTCTGAGAGTGTTTTGCTACTCTCCATGACTCTTTTCAATAATGCGTTTTCAATCGCCATCGGTTTGCCACGGAGAAAACTGCTGAAACTGCTTATTTGAAGCGCTTCCGGGACAGCAATAGAGAAATTGGTCAGATCCATGTCATCAGACTGAGGTCAGAGCAGACCCTTTCTGATTTCAAAGCAGATGAACTCGCAATGTGTCCCTTGCCAATATACTATTGGCCTGCAAAGCCCACACAGTGTGACTCCCATGACTTCTGGCAGATTATGGGATTTGCTGGACTGGGTCATACATGGTTATACAATGACTACAGCTGCAACTCGTGTTCCTTCTGTTGGCATGCAAAACAATGTGAGAAACCATATATGGTGGATGCAACTCAACTCTTTAACAGACAGCGGGGGAGGAAAAGGTGTTATGAAGCAACTGAAGACAGAGCTGGCATCCACATACTGTGACATGGCTCAACTTTTCAAGGTGTGAGATCGTTTGCTCGAATCTCAGGCAGGTGTTGTGGTCAGAAGTCAGCGCTCCAATCAACATGAACATTTTGACTAAGCATCGCACCCCCGATCTGTTGACTTCGTGTGTGACATCAGATTTATGCTCCATATAATGGGGCCTCATGCTTGCCTCCTTCAGTAGCAACTTGAGTCATTTGTCTAACTAGTGATGGAGGCGAAGCCATTGCCTTCGTCCGATCATTAGCAGATCCGCTTTTGTGGGGCATTGGAGTTTGGATTTTTAGAAATTACAGATATTTCATGAATTTTCCTGTCAATTGAAAGAACCGCAAACCGAGTCCCTGCTGGATGTGCTTGTTTCATTCCTAGAACTTGGCTCAAGTTCTGCATTGACAGACGGGCTTCCATCAATACATAGTGGCATTAATTGCAGCCGCTGTTTCCTGTCCTATCTCATCGCCACTTTTTTCACCAACGTTCGCCTTTGGAACCATGGCTTCTCGGCTGATAGCATATATATATATATATCGTTAGATACGACAAGATAATATAAGATAAGATAAGATAGATAGATAGATAGATTAGATAGATTAGATTAGATAGATTAGATTATATAGATAGATAGATTGGTATATAGATAGATGGATTGATTGATTGATTGATTTGATTAGATTATATAGATTGGATTAGATTAGATTACATTAGATTGTATATATGTATATATGTATATAGATACATACAGTATATGTTTGACGTGTGTATAGTGTGTGACTGGAAACAAAAGCATATATGTGCCATTTGTGTATGATTGTGAATGTGTCAGAGATATTGACAACAGGAATGGTTAATCTAATGTTGGCTCTATGCATTATACAGTCACCACGTAGCAGCTGAGTAGGAATGTGCCCTCGCTTTTTGAACCCCAGGTTTCTTTGAACACCAGCGCTGACCTTTGCAGCCGCTTGCCTGTGAAAGTGCTGAGATGAGGATGGGGTGCTGCTCCAGGGCAACTTCCTTGGTTGGTGAGTGAGAAAGTTCTGCCAACCGTCACCAAAAATCTATTAGTTGCTGTCCTCTTCATCGAGGTTTAATGTCTCCGCGATATTCTTAAATCAGCTTGACGTAGGTAATGAAGTACTTATAACAGGAGACTGGCTGTCCCTGCAACCGTACGGACCGCCGCACAATGCAGCCACAATGCAGCTTACATTGCGTCATATGTTTGGACTTAGGTGTGAAAGATGCAGTAAAGCTGCAGGGAGAAGTCGTTCCTTATTTGCATAACCTGTTCTCGGTAAGGATGAGATATGTTGCGAAAAGATACATGAAGCTAGTGGAGAGACAGAGAGAGAGAGAGAGGGAGGGGGAGAGAGAGAGAGAGAGAGAGAGAGTGGAAACTGGTCATGCCTGTCACAGGAAGGTGAAGCTGACATTTCCATGCAGTGTCAATGTATTTGCACCTGGTTTGTTGCTAGTCTTCCCATTGACAGAGTTGAATTCTTAAAAACACCATGACACTATATGATATTTTGAATGGGTACATGTTTGGCTGCCAAACCCGTCATTGCGGCATAGATAAGGATGAATCTGCGACTCGGACGCAAGTCAAGCTGATGAACATGAGAAGCATTTATGTTCCAATAACCTTCATCCTGAGACTGGGAGAGACTGGGAGCACCGAAACCAGACAGAAGCTTCTCCAAAAATCTCCAATGTAATATGCATTGCTCGTAAACTGAGGCCTTCTCCGATGTGAGTGCGGTAAGCGACACCAACTACGTTTCGGTGAACGAACGGCCGCGTTTCGGACCCTGGTGGGAAGCCCAGAAAGCGGCTTACAAGGAGATGACCGGGAGGGCCTGAAGGGCTATCATCCATGATCCAAACTGCTCGCTACTGTATGGGCGATTCAAAAGCACCCCTAAATATCCGGAAGTCGCATGATATTACAAAACCTTATTTTAAAAATGTTCATGAATTTTCAGATTGATGAATTCTGCAGCCACATTATTATCTTTGAATATCTATGGTTAATAGTCAGATAATGTCAAATATGCTGCTTTGCCGCCTGTGCTTGCAGGGAGATCACGGCAGATTCCGTAATTATCCGTAATGCAATTAGGATCAATTAGGTGGTAATGGTAATGCATGGTAATGCACCAGCCAGCTGCACACTTTTCTGCAACATCCGGTGCACATCTGAGGGAAACTACTGTAATTTGCATTATCGTTTTGACAGCCTTTGAATATGAAAACGTACTGGTACCATTTGCAGAGGACACATGCGCACAGATATTTCATTTGTATAATATATATATATATTATATATATATATATGTTATATATATGTGTGTTATATATATATATATGTGTGTGTTATATACATATATATATACTCTGCCAGCAGCAATCGCTTGATGCTATGTACTATTTTCATCTACTTATATGAATGTAGGCTATTTTGATCACACACTCTCAAAACAGAACATTGGGGATCTTGATTTGTTCAGACAACATGTCATCACGTAAGTAAGATATGACATGCTGACATGCTTGTTGGTTGTCCCTTCTATTCTATTCCTCCCTGTGCCCGGCTTGCGGTGGGTGTTGCGAAATCGGTTCGTAGAGTAAACGGAGATTGACGTGCGTCTTGAGAACCTGGTATATCAACAAGGATGTGCTTTCCCCATTTTTTGTGCACATGGCTATGGCTTTGACATGGTCCCAAGCCTTTGCGTCGGGCTTCACGGGCTTTACATCGCTGGCTGCAGATAGTCCCAGAGAACATTGTATATAAAATATCCCCAGTCCCAAGGCCAAGTTTGACCCTCAGAGCTAGCAGCTAGACTTCTGCTCCTCACAGTTGCAGAGGCCCATCCACCTCCTATATAAGTACTTGTATTATATTTTATGATATTTCAAGATCGGTCGCACTGAATCGCCCACGACCACACACGACCACTGACTAAGCCAGGAGAAGAAGCGCTTGAATGAGATTGAACGCCAGCAACGCATTGAAGAGGTGCACGTTTTGTTGTCTAATTATGTTTGTTTGTGTTGGCCTGTTCGTTCTTGAAGTTTGCGGTGCAGCTGGAGCATATCCAAGCGCGTTTTTAATAATGCTTCAATGACGCAAAAAACCTAGAGATCCTGATCCATTGTTTTGCTATATGTTTTGCTTATGACATGTTTCCAGCAACTTGTCATTTCTTATCGCAATTTTTCTACTATACCTTCATCTATTTTTTAGTTTTCAAATTTGGTCTTCGATTCTTCGGTGCCGCTGGAGGCGATTCGCCGCCGTGAAGAGGAAGAACAGTGCCTTGCTCAAGTTTTGGTGTTATTTTTTGCCAGTGGGTTGCAGGGCAGAGAGGAGATGATGGCCTCTCCACATATAGCCGATGTTTGCTCAGGCGTCGAATTGCTGCGGGCGAGGTGGAGTCTGACTCAGGCCTCACCGACAGCGAGGATGAAGATGAGGAGCTGGTCAGCAAGTGATTGTGAATGCTGCCACAAAATGGAAAATGAACCGGTATGGAACAGAATGTGAATAACCTGCCAACAGAGAGAGAGAGAGGAAGAGCAAAAGGACGGGTTAAGATTGATAGGTTCAGTCGGTAGAGGTTCCGAACAGTTCTGGAAATGTGATCGACTAGGAGCTGGAAGTTGCCAGCTGCCACACTGAGACTACATGTGCGTCACAGATGGGCTACTTGGCAGAGGGAAGATACACAAGCCCGGAGATCCTGGAGCTTCAAGAACGATTTCTATAATCAGTAATGATGCAAATGCAAACCAAGCAGAAGCACAGAGCCACCCTATGTGTACTCTGCACACCATGAGCATACGTTGATGGGCGATGGAGCCAGCCAAAGAAACAACCGCGAACTTCCAAACGAGAGGTGAACTCTTATGTTACTTTTTCCAGGCACCTGCTGGAAATAACACCCAATAAAATCAATTTTGAGAGAAATCGCAAAGCATGGACGGAAATAAAATGATGTATAATTTGGTTGAAATCGTGTGAGAGAATAAACGTTTGAAAAAAACCTGGAGAAAATTACGGAGAAAGGAAACAATAATATAAGACAAAATGGCGCTGGAGAGAGAAATACAGAGAGAAAGAACAAGATGTGTCGATCGTTTTTCCCCCGTGTCTTAAAATTGGGAGTTAGTCTCATGTGACTACAGCCCCACCGCGCTTTTGATTAGAAACATGTTGTTTTGCACGAGGTGGTTTCGATGACTTCTCTGCCAAGGCAGAAACGGGATGGATAATATATATCTATCTATATATATATATACTGTACAGTATGTATATCTAATATATAATATAGATGAACTCTAGAATATTTCATTGTTGCAATTCTTTGCGGGAAATCCTTGGGTATTGCAGATTCTCGGATCCTATGTCTCACCACGGAATTGAAGCACTTTAAAGACTTTGGACTGGGGGATCCAATGCGATCCAAATTGCGTATTCTTGATATTCTGATACTTTTAGTGATTTTGGAATGAATTTGGTGGATGTTGGATGCAGTTTCTGCCAGGCAAAGGTGCCAGATCTCATGGGCTGCGGTGGAGCTGTGGCACAGACGCTTCTACATGAACTGACAGGCCACAGCGGTCGAGAGATTAGGTCGAGATTCCAAAACCGCTTGCAGGTCCAACTCATTTCAGAAACACATGTTTTTTTTGTTGTTATCTAATCGATTGATTAATGTATCTATCTAATCTATCGAGAACTCTATCCACGGATCCATCAATATTTTCATATATTTTCTATCTTACAGTCTTTGGATGTATTTGGTCTATATAAGTTATATAAGTCTAAGTATGTCTAAGTCTAATCTGATCTAATCTTATGTCATTTTGTCTTATCCATACATCTGTCTATTGTATCTATTCTGTGAATAGTTCTTAATTGGTTAATTTTTCTTATCCTCTTGTGGAAACATAGTTGAGCTTACTACCTATCTACCTACCTGCCTGCCTACCTATCATTCCACCTGTCTATCTATCTTCCTATCTATCCATCTATCCACCTATCTGCAAGTGGTCCCAGAGCCAGACTTTGAAATCCACATGGATGGTACCGATTGCCGACCTTGACCCAAAACAGCATGGTTTCTCAGCAGCCCAGAGGAGGAGGTCCAAAAGATGCAAAGAGAAAATACATGAAAATACAACATATAATATAATATGATATAATATAATATAATCTAATTTAATATAATAGAATATAATATAATATATTACATATATATATATATTTATAAGATGCAACAGAATCTGACTGAATTCAAAAAGCAAAACCTGAATCTGACTGAAATCTACCCAAATTTATACGTCTTATTCGTGATTACTTACATACGTACAAAATTATAGAATATTACATATAATCCCATATATTCCACAGGAATGTCAGGATACGCTGCCAATCGACTTTGCCGCATTTTGGCCTTGTGAGGCATTCCTTTGTCTAGTGGCGCTGCTCTTTTGGCACGTGGTTCTGCTGTGTCGGCGATCAGGCTGGGGTTGCTCCTTGCATGGGTGACATTCGATGGGAACAACGACGCTTGTGGATCAAAGGTCTCTTGAATTGGTGGGGAGTTTTTTTCTGCCCCAGTACTTTGGAAACTCTCTCCTAAAAGGTAGTAGTTTTGATAGATTAATGGGATTTTGCCACCTTGTTTCCGACCATTCAGATGGCTTCAAACAGCACAGAGTAGTTTGATGGATCCGGACTTTGCCATGTTGATCGAAAAGGTTGTTGCATGATGTTGCATGTTCAATACTTGAACTTACTTGAACCATGTTCACGCTGTTTGTAGGGAGGTGGACTGGTCAGTCGAGTGGTTGCAACTTGGTCGTCCAGAGATTTTCCGATGGGAAGAGGGGAAGTCCTGCCATACGGTGCAGGTCCTTAAAAAATTGAGCAGCGGAAGGTCATCGAAGAGGCCTGGCACTTAAACCGTAGGGGAGGCAACAGGTCAAGTTGATGATTTCCAGAATATCTGCTTTCTTTTTCAGATAGAGGCAGGTGCTCATGGTCTCATCCATGTCCGCTCTTGCTTCTATAATAGTTGGTGACCTGTGCTTTCAATGGTAGATGCTTACCTTTGTCATCCTCAGGTCTGGCAAGTTGCTGCCTTGTAGATTCACAGAGCATCACAGAGAATAATTCAGCAGATGCTCTCTGACCGTGTGAAGCTTGTTCCGCCATAGGTTTTTTCAATGAGCTGCCGCGTCATTTTGCAATGACCAGTCACATGACATTACATCACATTGATTTTGATGTTTGTAAGTCTTTGTTGATGTTTGTTGAAGGTCCAGCTTGCTACTCACCAAAGGTGAGAATGCGGGCATTCTGGGCCACTGGTCGTTTGCATACCTGGCTGTAAGCTGTGCAACGCTGGCCTAATGCGCGGAATCCAGCTTGTTGTTTCGTGAGGATTGACTGGCCAATGCACTTTTGATTGATTGATCGATTGATAGATTGATTCTGTTAGTTTGTAACTAGGCGCAGCCTCAGACAGACACCGAAATCTGTGGAAAGGATGATTGTTGAATTGTATAGGCTTGCATTCGCTGTATAATAGCATGCAGCACCACAAGACCACAACTACTTTACAGACTGGTTGTCGAACTCCTACAGATTTACGATGCTGCTGTTTTGTCGGTTGCCCGATATATGCAATCTGGTGGGCTTGCTGCTGTGTCTTGGTCCGTTTATGTCAATCCTTACGTAACATTCACATGGTCGATTCTACGGGCATCTCTGCTTGGTCCTTGGTATCCTCATCCAGTTGCCACGAACCGAACGGTTGTGATAGCAGCGATCCAAGCTGAAGAAAAATGATGAAAAATGCATAGGATCTGTCAAGGCCAACCCAACATAACCCAACTATAGAATACAGATGCATTCAGGTGCCAACAGGGAATGCTGCAAGTGAGGCAATTGTCGGCTCTTTGAACGCATCGGAGCCTTGGTATACCTTGGTAGGACGCTTGGACTGTGGACATTGTGGACCGCAAGTCCTCAATGGAAGTGGCCGTGGTTCGGTGTTGTAATGGCTGCCTTTCCAGTGTATTTGAATGTATTTGACCTTTTTTTGGTATTCAATGGACAAGACCCAAGGTCACTTGAAGATACTTGAAGCGCATGTGCAGCCCAGGCCGCCACAGTCAATTACATAATATAGTGATCCAGACCCAACCAATCGATGCGAATCGCACGTGTTTTGACCGTCAGCACGGATGCCGCACTTAAACCCCAAAGGGTTTGTTGATCTCGGCAGCCAATTCTAAAGACCCATGGAATCCAATTTCGAAGCAGCATATCTTCAATGACAGGACTGACAGGACTGGCACTGGAGCCTGAAAGCTCCTCATGCAATGAGATGTACTGCACAGGTATCTAGGACTGAAACATACTGAAACCGTCACTGCGTGGCCAAGACAGCATGAGATTTGAAGGTTGGATATGCTTGGATGAGTTCCAGTTACAATCAACATCAGCATCCACCCTTACTCATAATTAAGGGTAAGCTCAGAAAATATTGCATCATAATGCAGAATTTCCTTGAACAGGGTACAGTAATTTATTGAGCTCGAGATGTATATATTGAAATAGTACAGGACACGGAGCCCATAGTAGCTATGTCGCTATGTTTTGCTCAACTCTGTTCAGCCTGTGTCTTGAAAAGTCCTGTCACTGGCAGCTGGTAGTGGTTGTGAGAGGCTGTCGCTGCAAGGCCTGGGTTCCTTCCGGAGATTTGTACCACGATTTGCGGTAGGGGTTGATTGTGGCAATGCTTCGCATGCTCAGTTCAAACATGTTCAAACTCACCGCAAATGTGCCTGGCCCTGGCCTTTCCTCCTTAATTGGGAGACCAGAGGGCCAAATTATCTATCAGATTGATTGTTAAAAGATGTAAAAAGGCAGGTTCGGTTCATTCTGAACATGTCTGAACCTTCTCGTGCTTCATGTGTCGCACGGCCAGGAAGGAGTGAACTTGGATTGAACTTCTCACGATGTAATGCTTCATAATTGGCATATATTGGCATCCTATCCGGCTGCACCCTCCAGATACAGCGGGGAAGTTCGTTCACTTCGGAGGTGTGCAACCTCAAGGAGCAGAACTTGACAGGGTAGAATCAGGAGAACATCCTGAGAAGCCTCGTCAGGGTTGGAGAACCCTGTTTTCTATCCTGTGACACTCAAGAACGTCACTCTCATTCTCACGGCTACGAGTATTGGCTGTGAACGTGAAGGTCTACTACGTCGCGGTTTTACCTTTTTACATTCGGTGGCATAACATGTCATCGTCAATTGCACATGCGCAAATATGCCAATGACTCTTAGGCAGATACATAGACAGTTGCACAGAAATCATCAGGAATGGCAGAATCATAATATGAAAAAAATATGAATATGAACAATTATTGAGTGTTTCCTGTTCTCTACTATCAGATAGTTTCCAGTGCGTCGGTGTGTTGTGGACTCGGAGAAACCCAGATGGTTACGTGGCACTTTGTTCGCCGCCTTCTTCGCTTGGGCACTACGCTCGGCAGCTCGTTGGTTCTGTTGGCTGTTCACTTTAGCTGCGCTCAGGAAAAAAAGCAGCAGCGGTCACCCGCAGCTTTATCAGACTTGTCTATGAGTTTGAGCTGTTGCGTCGTCGTGCTTTCAATTGGTGCTCATGGCGGCGCAAAGCCAAGCCATATTATGCCGTATATGCCGTATTCAAGTGCAACGATTTCTCAAACATACAGTAATTAACGACATTTAAATATGGAGGGCGGGCCAGACCGCGAGGCCCCGGAGGTAGTATGAAATACCAGTTCGTATATTTAAATGTAGTTACCGTAACGTTTAAATGAATTGGATTCCGTATGTTTAAATGACTGGGCGGGCCAAGGAAAACCTTCCCGGAGGTAGTCTAAAATACCTGTTCGTATATTTAAAAATCCGTATGTTTAAATGTTGTTACCGTATGCTTGAGAAAGGGCAGTTTGAAATGGGGACCATCACTGTTTGAAGCGCTGCCATTGTGCAGTCGCTACTGTAGTGGATCATTCTCAGAAAATCTCTTAGCAGGCTGCAGCAGCGGTGGAACGTTTCTCGCCAAAGCTGCTGAACGATTGGGACAGAATGCAACTTGGAATGCAGCATCCACATTCGATTCGTCTTATTGAACACATCTTGATGCATTTGTTGTGTCCATGCTTGATCATGCCGTGCCTGATTATTGCATTTGGTCACTCTTTGGTACAGTACTATGCCTGCTTCTACTGTTTGCTGTCTACTGTTTGCTGTTGTTAAATGTTAGCAGATGATTGGCACAGTCCACGTAACAAGCATTGCCAAGATTCCTTCTCGCAGTTTGATTGAAGTTGTGCGGACAGATGCGGTCAGTCTTTTCTTCAAGGCCAAAGACCTTCGCACTGAACGTGTAGCAGATGCTGTGCTGGCCTTCGTTTGGGGCTTATTGGATCGAACTAGTCCTGGTTGTTCAGCCTCGACTGTAGGTTTTCAGATGTTTTCAGGGTAACTACAGTACTTCCTTTTATTCACACGGTCAGAAAGATGCAGACAGTGCTTTTCAAAAGCATAGGGAAGTGCATCCGAGCGCATCATGCGCACTTGTTTGGTTTAGTTTTGTTTGTGCAGGTGCTCTTAAACTTTTTGCCATTGCGTAAGGCGTAAGGAGTACGGTGCAAGCAAGAAGATGCAAGAAGTGCAGTTGTAACATGCTTGGACGGAGAATTTTTACGCACCAGAGTCCGAAAAGGTTTACTTTACTTTTTTTGTTGGATCAAAGTCAGTGGACTAGTCCCAGGAAGCTGCATGGGACTATCCCTGATCAATACCAAAACGAAGGTGATCCAGGTATGTATCACATGTATCACCGTGGAACGAACCATCCAGAATGATCCATCCATTACGAATAAAATACGGCAACTTGACATTGGCGACGTTGGATTTACAGGCACAGTTATATGTTGCACTTTACTCGGGAAACGAAGCAGGAAACGAAGCATTTGTCTTGGGAAATATATAGATTTGTTCTCGCGTTTTATCCTTTCCTCTTGCTTTTTTTTCTTTCCAAAATCCTCCTTCCTTTCTTCCTTTCCATTCAATCCTCTGTTTCTGTCGCTGCTCCGTAACGCAGTCAAAAACCAAGCCAAAATTCCCGAAAGGTGCCTAGACTTCGACCATGCCGTAACCTTTTCCTCCATTCCTTTCCTCTTCCTTTCCTCTTCCTTTCCTCTTCCTTTCCTCTTCCTTTCCTCTTCCTTTCCTCTTCCTTTCCTCTTCCTTTCCTATCTTTCCTCTTCCTTTCCTCTTCCTTTCTTGCTTTTCCTTTTCCGCTTTTCGTTTCCTTTTCCTTTCCTTACATAGATCCTTACATCTCAGCTGAGGCCCAAGAAACCAAGCCGGAAAAGCAAAAACGAAGCCTGCAACACAAATCCACCAAATCGCATTGGAGTTTTGACATGTTTTGACGGTCGCTCATCTCCTCACTCGGGGGGGGGGAGAGAGAGAGAGAGAGAGAGAGAGGGTTCCCTTCCCTATTGATATGCGTCTCCGATTACCGGAATATGAAAAAAACCTTCGTATTTTACTGATAGATATATTCTGCACATGGGTGCAAAGCAGGCAGAGCTCACGGTGCAGCTGGAGGCACCACAAAGGGATGGTCGAGGGAAAAGAATGGAAAAGAATGGAAAAGACTCTTTTCCGACATCTCCCAGCAGTCGTTGTTCAAGTTTATCCAATCTAACGTGCATGGCAAGCATCAGCTCAAACAGACCATTGCATTGTGTCATTATGCTGACGATAGTATTGTATGGTATTGTGATGTACTATATTGTCATTGCGTCAGTGCTCTACCATGCTCCAAGACACCGCCCTGCTCCGAAAAACCCCCCACATGTCACAAAGTGACTGAGTCAATCACAAGCGAGGGAGCGAGAGAAAGATCGCTCGGAGATGCCCCGCTCGGAAACAACAGGCCACATCGAGTCTTCTCAGTCGATGGGCCGGGAGGTTCAACCCTAAGGAGACAAATGTCTTGTAGCACAGGGCCTCTGGTTTGCTGCCAGCCATCACGCCAAATCCACGCTAAAATCAGCAGATGCCAGAATGGTGGGGGTTGTTGCGGAAGTTTGTTTGATATGTTTGATATTGCTTGGAGCTAGGGGGCTATGAGTCTGATTCTGAACTCTCCCCATTCGAAAGTTGCACTTTGTAAGTTGTTTGTTGCCTCGCTGCTGGAGGGGGTCAAACTGTAATATGTACTCGTATTTCGTTAAATGACATAGATCGACATTATGCAAGAAGTAGACTGTACAACACTTTGTAATTTGTAACCCTGGAAGGGTTGCAATGTATCCACCATAGGAGTCTTCTGGAAGCCAAGGCCAGCATCTTTGGCACCAAAAGCATTGCTCCTGCGCTTAGACACGTTGGCACGAATGGGCGTGCAAGTGCCAGAGGCACGGACCGCCCCGGGAACCATGGATTTATGATTGGGCTTGCCTCATCCTGGGAACTACTGTAACCGCTTCATTTGGAGGGCTCTAATCAGCTTAACCAATTCGCAGCTGTGGAGACGGTGTAATTGTGTCAACATTGGTGAGGTTTGGACACTGGGACTCCATCATCCCATTGCAAGGGCGGTGAGGAATCCTATACTGAGCACTGAGCAGTCCCCAGCATGTCCGGATGAACATCCTGCTTGGACGAGGCCACAGAAATCATGTCCGCCCTAAAATGAAGAAATATATAATGTTGCCCGTTGCTGCACAATAGAGCTGGGTCATGTCAAGACCTTGTTAACCCAGATGAACCGGGCTTTCATCTCAAGTGAATTTTCTCCTGTCATCATTTGCTTGATGGATTTATGATGAAATTATGATGAGTTATACAATATCTATTCCAAGCATTTCCAAGTGAATTATATATATATATTAATTATTAATATTATATAATTATATTATATATATACTACCCTCTTGCTGCTCTTCTGCTCCATAATGACAGGATGCGCAAGATGCCTGGCACGATGCAGCCAATGCCTCGATGTCGCCAAATCAGTTTGTTTATGGTATGGAGTTCATCATAATCGTATAGATTGGACTTTGGACAGATTTGGGAGTTTGATATAGTTTGATTCAAGATTGTGATTTGCATTGGTTTACTGTTACCTTCCAAAGTCCAGCTGCTGCGTAAAGGTACCTCCGGCTATAAAGCATATTGCATTTGCAGTCACGATTGTTGGCGAATCAGGACAGTCTTTCACAGTCAGTTCTCTTATCAGACTTGTTGATCGGCCTTTTTGGGGATTGTTCGACGATCTTCGACGCACTTTCCGTATGAAAAACATGTTGCTGGCCATGTCGGGTCTGGTTCCTCGACTCCTCGACTGTCCCAGGTCCGGGTTCAGCTTCCAAAGCTCTCTTCTGGTGAGCAGGCGGCGGAGACGCGGCAGTTGCGGAAAAAAGTCGAATTGAATAGTGGCCTTTTATGGAGTTTCTTGACTGCAAGACTATGAAAATCATGGAAAATCTATGTCGCTCTGCTTAGATTATATTAATCATTTTCTTTGAGATCTTTGAGCGCCGCAGCAATTCTATGACATTCTATGACATTCTATGACATTCTATGACTGTTCTGTGTAAATCTTGTCGCAGCTGAGCCGCGGGGCTACACATCCTGTTCCATATTCATCATATTCGTACCACGAATGTGTCTTCGCAATCAGCTGCTCAGATCATACAGGCGTATCATTGGCGTATCGATCTTCCCAGCTGATCTGCAATTGAAAAGCAAGCGGGCGGCATATCCGTGACTCACTAAAGTTTGATGTCAGGAAAAAATATTAAAGAACAGCCATGCAGATACACACGATGTAGACTTGTGGGCTTCTTGGTGCATTAACAGCAAGACTAGTGCTTCCACATTGCAACACCGATGCAAATGCATGTCCAGTAGGGAATTCGTTCTTTTCCTGATTCCTGGCAGCAAATTCGTATAAGTAATACGTCTTGAATTTGCCAATGCAAGCTATCAGCGATGAAGCGCCGGAAGCATCAAGATGTGGCTGCCGGTAGCAGCAAAGATAAGCCCAAAGAAGCAAAGAAGCGAAAGGACCAACATAAAGAAGAGATCAAGAACAAGGCCAACAAGCGAAGCAAGAAACAAGAGAAAAGCAGCCTGGCGGCAAGTGCTCTCATTTGGAACATTACGTCTGCACTAACACGTCAAAGACTCGAACGGCTATGTGAAATGGCATCCAAATGGGCTATGCACTGAGGAAAACCCAGGTACAAGGCTGAGGTTGAATGTGGAAAATACATGAAAATACATGAAAATACTATAAAATACTGGTGAATTCGGCCATACTGGTGAAATCTGGTGAATCACAGCAACCTGTGCGCACTCCTGCTGAGTGTGTGGAAGGCAATAGCAGCAAAGTCCAAAAAGTTGCCAAAGAAGAAAAGGTTGATGCGTCTCAGCTGCGAAGCGTTCTGACGTTCCAACAACTCTCTGCAGATGCTGCAGAGGGGCGTCAATCTTTCCGGTACTGACCACGGTAAAGTATGCCCATACATCAGGCATCATCAGGCCATGGCAGGCATGACTGGAGTTTCAGACAACTTGGCCAAACATGTGCAGGTGGAGGCACACTTTCGCTCTCTTCAGCGGAGGCCAGTTTGATGTACCTTCATTTCTGCTAGCCAAGCGCATACCAAACGCATGTCATGCAATCTCATTTAATATGCCAATGACCAAGTCTCGACTGGAGTAATGTGAGATCTTTTTCTTGTTCTCAAAAATGTTTAATGTTCTGGCTTGTTGGCTTGTTTCTCCAGGTCTGGGGTTCCCACAGGCGAACTACCCAGATTCTTTGCGCCAATCATTCCTTGCACCTGGCTTAGTGGCTTAGTGTGGCTCTGGCTATGAGTCCACAGAGTGTAGGCGACGAGGTACTGATTTTGAAAGGAGTTTAGCAGATTAAATGCAGATTATATTGAAAGAATGTGTAAAACAGTTTCAATTCAACATGATTCATATCATATGATTCTTATTCGCAACATTTCGCAACATTTCGCAACTATTATATAGTCAACGCAGGAGCCGGTGAAATGGCAAAGACTTCCGGAAATATGTATTTCTTGCTAGCTCAGGCAACTCAGATGCCAAGCAGCGATGGACATTCCGTGCTCGTAATCTGCAACCTCTAACAGTGACAAGGCCAAACCAGTCAGAGAGAAGAAATGAATGCATATAGACAATGTGGATAATTATACCGATATGCCGTGCCTATATATATCCCATCATATCCCTATATCAGATACTATGATACTATCAATGCAAACTTTTGAGTCTGCCAAACGAATGAGGACGAGTCAAACTGGATTTGGCATGGGCAGAGTTTGCAGGTCTACCTGGAATTCTTCAGAAGTGCAACGTTTACAAAGAGCAACTTGACCATAATTGATTTGTAGCCAGAAAGCCCTGAATGCAAACAGTTTTGCTGCCCAAAGCCACTTTTAGAGACCCATCAATCGCGAAGGCTCCGTTGCATTGCATTATGAACATATTAACAGTGACAGTATGTTTTTTCTCTTGTTTGCCTGTTTTTTGGTGCAATCTTCACAGTAATCCCTTCCCATCCCTTCCCCCTGTTACTAAACGTACCCCAACCCAAATACAAAAAACTAGGGTCCGCATTAAATTTTGGAAAATTTCAGGCTGGCCAATTTGATTGTTAATTGATTCCCTTTCGAAAACAAATTAAACATGAACGTCCCATTTGAATCCATTTGAGGGTTTGACCCCCCAAATAATCCAAACTGGTCAACCCCGGGGTGTTTTCTATTAGGGTCCGTCTTTGAAGCTCGAAAAAACATAGTTTTCTTATTAAGGTTTCAATTTTTAAATTAGGGGAAAGCATCGAAAGCATTCGAGAGCCAATTTTTGCCAATTAGATGTTACTGCAAAAGAACATTTAATTGATTTTGAAAAATATATATTTATATACAGTATACATACATGTTTTTGAAAAAAGAAAGCTTTTGAGTTATTTTTAGGGAAAGCTTCGAAAGCCAATTTTTGGCAATATGTTAAGTAGATGTTAACATGAAATTCAGTCGATTTTGAAGCGGCAAGTTTCAGCTGTTATGAAGTTTTTATATATTAGGGGAAGGTTTCGAAATTGATTGTTTTGGCAATATTTTAATTAGCTGTTAAAAGGACATTTATATATATAATTATATATAACCGATTTTGAAATATGTCATATTAATAAGGTGGAAACTTCGCACCCTAGTACTAAATACATCTAAATACCCCCTAATACTAAGCTCCTCTAGGTGTTTATTCTTCGGGGGGGGGTTTAGTATCAGGGGGAAGGGATTGGTGATGCCAAGGTGATGCATGCAGAACTCTTAGAGACCAGCTTCCAAGAGCAATTCCAAATCAAGGCTGCAAGTCTTGATGTGAAGGGGCAGCTTGGTTGCAGTATGGCTTGCCGCGTGCGAGTTGGTTCTCGGCTAAAGGCAAACCATGATTTGGGCAGACTGAACTGAGAAGCCTGAGCAGAAAAAACTGCTGCACTACTGTGCTCAGTACGTCCGGGCCTATCCTGTTTCTGAGGCAACAACAACTTTTCGCAGAAGTTGCAGCAAAACTGGAGGGTAAGCGTTTAAGAGAGCTTCTCCCAGAACGAATTGAGGCCTCAGGGCACTTGTAGTAAATCAACCAGTTACAGTTACAGGAAAAGCAAGCAGTGTTCAGTATGATTAGGATGCAAAAGGAATTAGCCAATTCAAGTTAATTCAAGTATGAGAGTATCAAGAATCAATAATGATGTGCTCCTCCTTTGCATTCAAAGAGCTGTTGAGAATGCTCTTGCGGAGTCCCTTTGCCTCCCTTTGCATCCCTGTGCCCAGTATGTTGACTGGCTCAACGTATCCAACAAGCTGCGAGCCATGCCTCTTGCTCGCAAGCATATGTTATTTTCTGTGTTAAATACTTTGGACTTTAGCAACTGTTTTTTTCCATTCCATGATTTGACAATACTTGTTTCTATTTGTTTACACGAGAAATATTGTCCTGTTGTTTATTGCATATGCGTAATTATATGTATATGATTGTAGATGCATATTTTATGATTGATTACTATGATGCTGCTATGCGTATTATGAATCGTGAATGTCAAGATCCCAAAATGTGAGCAGCAACGGGCTTCACCTGTTTCTTGTTTCCTGGTCTGCATCAGTTGTGACGCTTGTAAGCCCTCACACCCATCAATCAGGAACCTCGGAGTGGATGACCTGCCCTGCATGAGTGCCTTGGATTTTCAATGTGGTTGTTGTTCTGCAGGCTGGAGTTTTGTTGCTTGACCCTATGTCCAGGGCATGTGTCAGACGAAGCATGCACAAGGACCATAGCAAGAGTTCACAATAGCTCACAAGGCTTTACGCTGGAATGGTTTATGCTGTTTATCTTGGTACCAAGGTGCTTCGAATTGCCTCATTCAGTACCTGCATCATATCGTGCACAAATCGCACACATCAGTCACCCCATCCGAGGAGTCTCTGATGGGGTGAGTGCTGGCTAGCTGCTGGCCTGTGGGTGGTGTTTGGAATATTAAGTTGAGCGGATCGTTTTTTTTTTGAGTGCTTCTTTCTACCACTGTCTTGTGGCTGTGGCCCAATCAGCAAGGATGGATGTGAACAAATACATCCGTGAGAAACCAGAAAACCAGAAAAAGAGAACAGGAGTTACAACTCCTGCCTGGGATGGCAGCGGGGTTCCGGAAAACTCTGATAGTCTCATGGCTTTGAAACACAAAGATGTTCTCTCAGAACTGTCGGGGTCATGTAGGCGTTCAAGCCACTCAGCGTCAGAAGGATGCCATGAAAGAAGCCCGCAACCGCTTTGGAAGATCCTTGCACGTGAATCAGAATTTTGGTTGCACTGAATTCGTTCGTACAGTAGGTTTCATAGGTTTCCCACAAACTGCGCGACATTGAGTGACTTTCAAATAGTGTTTTTGTTTGCGCATTGCAACACCATCCGAAGTGACCGAGCGCACGATGAGGACATCATTCTTTTGAGAATTCCATGGGTTTCCCTGAGTACATCCGAACCCGAACCCTTCTACGAAGCCATTGTGTAGGGATTATTGTTGCTGCAAAACCTCAGTTTGCTGAATTCAGGATCGCTGATTGCACAGGAACTTCCATAGCTGCTGCGTGGCGCATCTTGTTTGCAAAAAGACTGGCTACGTTTGGAATGAGGCAGAATGAACAAGAATGCGCAAGCATTCTTTGACCTTCTTTGAGGATCTTTGATGATTTCGATGGTTCTCCTTATGATCTGCCTAGCAGTTTGTGGCAAGCCTAATATGCCTAATAGGATCTAATAGGTGAAACAGGTTCAAACTATTCCTACCTATTCCTGTGTGTTTTGCTGGGATGGTTCGATCCTATCCACCGAGGTTGTTTTGCTAGCCATCTCCACTCAGAGGTCTGACTGCAGAGAGAATTTTTTGTACTGGAGTCGGCTTCTTTTTGCCTGTGGATGTGTGCGTGAGTGATGTGCCTCGATGGTACTGAAGAATACTAATCTTGAATAATGTCTTGTTATGTTTGTATTGTCAATATTGCTGTTCTTTATATATATATGATATATGGTTCCAGGTTACTGATGACCGGTTGGTTTCCAATTCCAACCTGTTTAAATTGCAGGTGAACCAACCTGCAGACTGGTCCCCAGAAGACCTTGAGAAGTTGGAGCAGGTGGCCAGCAGCATGCCACAGCATGCCACAGCATGCCGCAGCATGACAGCTTCCATACAGCTTCCATACAGCTTCCATTTCCATTGCGAGAAGATGACGCTTTTCTTTCCTTCTGGTGCATGTTTCCATTCAAGCACCATCAATTTCATCAAATTTCCATGAGCTGGATTCACGATATTCAAGGCAGATATGCATGATTCTGCATGATGTTTATGGATGTTTCATCTTTCAGAGCAAGTTTGATGCCAAATCTCCTCCGCTTCAGGTCTGTGCCGAGTGCGGCACCGACTGGCAACTGGTTGCAAGCCGTGTCGGTGACTTCAGTCCTGAGGAGTGCGAAGAGCAATGGAGGCATTGGAACGACCGGGAACGACGCACATTGGGGGTAGCCATTGACCTTCGAGTGTTGGAGGTGTTGGAGAGCCATGGAGAGCCAGCAGGATCAGCAAAAGAGGTACTTGAAACATCTTGACATTGAGCCGTTGTGAGATACCGTAGGTCGTAGATTTAAAATGGGACTGGCAGAAAATGCACACACACACATGCATATATATATATATATATATACCATTGTAGCTCAGGCATCTTGGCGAAAAGGACCAAACTTCTGCAACTTGGCAACAGAGGTAGTCACAAGACTTCGATGCGACTACATTGTGCAATCGCAGTGCAGGAAATCTATGATTTGCTGTTAGGACTTGTTACAAGAGGACCACCGCCTGGTGCAGTACATCCACTATAGACTATAACTATAAAGTTGATAAAGACGATTCATTATATATATACATACACATGTCATACACATATTTTTGCGCTGGCTGTCAATTCTAGTCAGATATTGAGTTCTTCTCACTGCCTGTAGTAAACACAATGCATCGGCCTTCGGTTTGTCAAGTATTCACTCTCTGAAAACGAGATCCCAGTGAATGAATGGATGTGAATGGATCCTCTTGAATTTGTATGAATTTGTGATGTCAGGTCGTAGCATCAAGCACAGCTGCTGGTTCTGTGGAAAAGAGAGTGATGCTACCGCTGCCCCTACCAGCTTGCCAGAGATATCAGAGATGCCAGTCATTAACAGCTCCAAGGGCCAAGTAATCCAAGTATTTGATTGGTGAAGCAACTGAAGTATCACCACAAAAGGTGGTACTTGGTAAGTCCTCAAGTCCTCCCCTGAAAGGAACGTGGCAGAAAAGCTGCCGAAAGCCTTGGCCTGCAGCAAACCGACCTTGGCAGTGACGGTGGGGCCGGCACCGGAAGCTGGATATTCCATGATATCCAAAAAGTTCAGTTTGGGTTCCCAAAGATTTAACCAGACAACTAGAAGCTTTAGCTGCTTTAGCTACCATGCTTTCTTGAGTCCTCCTGCGTTGTTTGCTTTGAGGCAGTGAACAAAACAGAGGCTATTGCAGAATTTGCTTCATGCTATATAATACAATATAATCCAATGCAGTCAGACAAAGCCCATGCTGCCAACTACTGTCACACTTATCACATAATATATATATATTATAGTTTATTTAATTTGGACAAAAACTGGAGGTTTTCTTATCAATTTGCTCCTCCGGACCAGGCTTGGATGGCGGGGAAGATCCTTGGGTCTCTGCTGGAGAAGCAAAAAAATGATGACATGCTGCGGTTTGGGAACACGGGCGGCAACAACATCACAAAGACTTAGAAAAAGACTGTTGCATCACGGGTCAGGGGCTGCTGTGATCTTTCCTTTGGATCCCTTTAGCGTTTTGTCGAAGCATTTTGAAAGGCTTGGTAACTTGATTGGGCCATGAGGAGCTGAGAAACCCGGTTGAAATATATTGAAATCTTGCAGCTTTGGTTCAGCCAGAGCCGTGACCTAGCCACACCTGCTGTTCAGCCAGGAGCTGTGTATGTCCAGGGCAATGTGATTTGGTTTGAAGTGAGACAGCAGCTACTTGTAATAATCTCAAGAGCTGCAAAATTGTACTTCAATATAGATTTCAAGCTGGAAGGAGTTTGAAGTCTACCAGTAGCTTTTTTTGGAGCGTGCAGACCAAGTGAAGCTCCGTGTTTATGAATGAGCTGTTGCAGGAACCATGCAGTTGTCCAGAAGGCATGAAGTGATGAGGTTTTCGCACAACCTCAAAAAACATGTAACAAATACACAACAGAAACAAGTGATGGAAGCATCGCCAAGGGTCAAGTCGCATCGCTGCATGCCAAGAGCAGTTCCATGGATTTGTAGCAGAGTGGTTGCTTTGATCCAGTTCCTTTGCGGGCCCATGTGCGATGCAACTCATTGAAGCTTTTTATGATAATGATACATGATAATGCTTGATCGTTTATTGCCTATATAATCCTATATATATATATATAGTATCGTATAGTATCATATAGTATCAAAGAACATTTCATTTCAAGGACGGCCAGGAAAGACCCCCCAATCATTGAGAATCTGGTTCAATATAGTGGAGTCATGTGGAGTCCAAAAAAAAACAAAAAATGTGTATGGGACAAGTGACCATGGGCTACCTGCATTTCTTTCCAGTAGTTTCCGATGGTCAGGTCGAGGTCATGCTTGCTGGGTATTGCTGCCGCGCTGACAGCAGCCCAATTTGGTGGGGCTTCCCAGTGACACCAGCCGCCAGTAGACCCCGTGTTTCTGCGTGTTTCCAAATTCATAGGTGGATTTCACGAAAGGAACGAGTAGAAAAACATGCAAGTCGCAGAAGTTTTGATAGGTATGTTTTGAACGAGTTGGCACGAGCACATTCATGCGGCAGCAACGTGTTTAGACAGGTATCACACTAACAGCCACCTGTTCTTGCCCTGCTGGGACATCTACCTTAGCTGCAATGTTGCAGAAAGAAGTAATGATTCCGAAAATGCAAAATGCTTGATACTGCCAAAGGCAGACAAGCCTGGGCAAACGCGTGGAAATACAACCCCACTCAGCGGTACGTGAAGATTCAGATTTTGAAAGCGCGGAGGTGTCGCTGGAAAAATGTGCTGCTCGCAGGGATTCGAAATGTTTACAGGGATTTGAAACATCAACTAAATACAGCTTACTCCATGCTGTTTTGATCTATTGCTGTGACCCTGCTGTGACGGGGTCGATCGGGGTCGTTTACTGGAAAAGGACACACAATATATGACATATATGCATCAATGTGCGAAGTCCCGCGTTCTGAGCAATGTGCAATCAACACAGAAGAGCCCAGTATTTGGTCGAGAGACGGGAGATGTCGAGAGTGTCAAGTGACGAGCGCGACATTTAAATTTAGCTGGAAACTTTCAGGCGTGTGGCGTGTGGACATGGACTGCCGCTGTATGTTGATTTAGTATTGATTTAGTTGCATTGCTTAAGTTTTGATTAATTAATCAAATTATTGATTAAGTTGTGTTTTGCTATTCTTAGCCTTTCAAGTTTCATGGGCTCCGCATGCTTCCCTCGCCATTCGAGGCCTCAGCTTCATGGGACCATTCATGCCGGTGTCCAAGTTCAACATGCCTGTGCCAGAAATCAGTGTCATGACCATGCACATGCGAGAACATGATGGCTGGCAGAGCATAATCGCTTGTTGGAACGAGATTAGATTAGCCCAAATCACCGTAGCATTGTTTTCTTGCGAAAGAGTCATGATGGATAATAAGTGAAGGCGAAGTCGTAATGGTGTTGGGAACTATCGAAAGTTTGAATGTGTGTTTGTTTGTATTTGTTTGTTTGTGTGTGTGTGTGTGTTTGATTGCTTGTTTATTTGTTTGGCTGGTTGTTGTGCAGTAATTTAATTTGTCTTGTCCTTGCCCTGAGCTGCTCGTCACAGCAGGCAAAACCATGACTGCAAGCAGTGGAAACTGATAGCACATTCTGTGGTACTATCCTTTCTTCTAAGATTCCAGCATTTAGCCCTACATGTTTGCCGGCAAACGAAGCTGAAGGTAGGTCAGGTAGGTCAGGTAGATCAGTTAGGGCAATGATGACAGTACAAGACCTTTATCATGCTTGTGCAACACAGCGGGACCATGCTCTTAGAATCCTCATGCTATTAGAATCTGCAAGCCGCGATGGGTGTGAGCATGGTGTGAGCTTGATTCTGCGAAACATGGTGAACCATGGTGAAACTACTAAAAGTACCATGGCACCACAACAAGCAAGTCACAAAGAAATTAACCGCAAGTCACAAAGAAATTAACCGATGAAGGTGTTTCGACCTTGTCTCAGCCTGCCATGATTCTCGATGCAGCGGTACGACCGTCGATACGTGACGCACGGAGGCTGAGATTGCTTTGGTATCAAGTCGTTTGATTTGTTTTTGAAAAGAGACCCGATGTGAAAGGATGCTATAGGACCTGAGGGTCAATCAAGTTGAAGCAAGTTGATAAGCTGCGGTTCGAGGTATGTCGGAAACTGTTGAAGCACAACATTTTTCTAGTCTTTCATATTTTTTGGTATAGGTAGAGGCACATACTTTGTCATTGACCTAGTGTGACCTTCGCTGACATCACCTTGATTGGCTTCAGGCTGCTCCACCACGACCACGACCAGGGCGCAAGAAGACTCTTGCACGAACTGGGCCGAGTATGCAGAGGAAGCAGACCACACGTGGCCGTGTCGAGATGTGTTGAGGCGACAGGAACCCATTGGATTATGGTTGACAAATACCAACTCTATCATATGTTTTTTTAAATATTTTTTTTGTCAATTGCCGACCTGACACCCTTGCCAGGTCACATACCGGCGCTCTTGGTCTATTTGATCACCTGCCATCCGCAGAAATGGCTTCTGGCCTGAACTTGGCATTGAAGCTGCTCAGAGATTTTGTTGACGACTCCGACTGTTTGCTACTCTTGACCCGGATATCCCCGTGCCTGCACAAGCCCACATACAAGCACGGGATGCCGCTGCCATGCATGACATGGTGCAGCTGAGGTTCCGTTTTGGTGTTCTGTTCACATTTGTCGCTCCTGCCTGAGCTTTGCCATGCTTGTCCACTGCACGTGACCATGCAGATATAATTATGTTGATGGTTTTGGACCCAAACCATAATTCATAATCCATATCATCGTATAGTCTGAAGTGACGCTTTGCCTCGAACTTTTTGCAGGCTCCTTCAATGCTTGCTCTTTGGCGGGGAGCTCATGGTCACAGTATGTCACAGTTGTCAAAAGCCTGTGCTCATGAGTATTAATTCTGTTGGTTGGTCTAATTGAAGAAACATGAGTGCATATTTGGATGCCGGTGCATGCCAATGCAAGCCAGTGCCAGTGCTGTTTGAAGTGTCATGGGCACATTTTGCAGGTCCTTCGAAATGCTGGGAAGACTGGATTTTAAGCCCTTGATCAATAAACAGGTGGGCAGGGCAGATGTCGCAAGTTCATGCTTGCTGCACAACCCCATTTGCACCCACCTTGAGTAAACTGTATTCAGTATACGTTTTCCTCACAAGTTCTCGTTGAGTGCAAAAGGAAGGAAGACTTACTATTTTGGATTCCCGATGGCCATCGCCAGCAGGCGCTGGATTCTCATCTTGGGAAGAGGCTGGATTGTTGTTAGGATGTGCTGTGCTGCATACCGACAAGCTAGTAGCTGGCAGCAATATCGCACAAGACTTAATATTTTTATATATTTTTGGACTTGAGGCAATGGCTTCCACTTGCCCGGATGAACCTTTTCTTGGCTCGTATTGAAGCACCCAGGGCACACATGAGCAGACAACAGACAGCAGAACAAATTCACAGAATGAAGAGTCTGCCAGTACCACAGCAAGGTGCTACCGTATTGAAGCAGCACTCTGTGCAATTTTCCGGCCTCCGATCTCGCGATAGATCGCGATAGTAGAAATGGTGAAGCCTAGTGACCTTTTAGCTGAGTTTGGCGTTTCAAGCCCAAACAGAAAACAATAAGATGAAAGGATTACCTGTTCGCATGTGATACGTAGAAACAAGAAAAAAATAATGAGTGTACTGACAGTGTACTAGTTACATCTAGTTGCCAGACCAAACCGGACATGTGCCCGCGCCATGGATGAACATAGTGGTTGGTTGGCAGCATTGCAGGCTGCTTGCGCTCATGAAGCTTGCTCTGTAAGATGTGAATGTACAGAAGAAAATATGGTGTCATATGGTGTCCATATCTTATATGATCACAGCATGTGGAATGTAGAAGTTGTTTCTTTCAAACTCATGCTCACTGCATGAGGCCTGGGACCATGGTACATTTATGATCATTTATGTTTATGCATGATCATGCATGAATGTTCGTTTCCTGTTTGAAAAGGCACCGGCAATAGCCAGCTGCCAGCAGCTCTCACACTTTTCTGCAGATCTGAGGAGTTTGCACCCCACTGGTTGAGAAAGCCCCGGCGCCTCCATGGTGGGCCATGGCCTTTGCAACTGGAAGTAGGAGTGAATGGTGCCGGGCTCGCAGGCGTTTACTGTCTCTTGGTCGCGCTTTTGGAGGGTTTGTAGCAGGGACCCCTGTAAATCCCTGTGATATGTCTCGTTCATTCTCGTTCTCATTTGAACTTGTTCTTCGGCGCGTATGGGAAGAGAACAGCAGAAGTCTGTTGGTGATGGGTGTGTAGATTAATCGGGAAACATTCGCAACTTCACAAATCAGTCTTGTCACATCATGAAAACACAATCTCACCGCCAGTGGGGTCACGTAAGGCCTTCAAGAAGGCGGTGATGTCCCAAGCTATTGGTGTGAGAAGGTGGGAGATGCCAGACGTTGCTTCCACTGTGGATTCCTATGTGTGCACTGTTTCAATAATTTTAAAGGGTTTTCAACGGGATTCGCATGGATTTGCCAAGAATGGTGATCATATTCCATCATTGAGCACAGTTCGTTAAGGTAATCAAAATTTGTCTATGTATGCGTGTAGAATCGTGTAGATTTGAGAAGAAGCAACAGAACTGCAGGTTCCAGATGCTTGCTTGGAACTTTCCACGAGTTTGGGTCTTTGGCTACTTCTGAGCAAGCCAATTCCCGACGCGGATGACCGAGCACAAAAGAACCTCAGCTAACACTGTACTGTACTTACCGCTGCAAGGTGCCAGAAAGTAGGGCTATGTCAGAAGGCGAGTGATTCTGACATATTCTGGCAATTTCTGTTTCTCATGGGTTGTGGTTGTGGTGCTGGTTGGTGCTGTTGGTATGCAGATCAATGCAGATCATGTGAATGTCATGCATTTATTCACTAATTACCACAATTACCGCACTCCGCTTTGTGAGGACCAGATGCTTGTACAACTTGGGTTCGCTTAGTGGGCGCCAATTGCTTTATGCCTAGTGCTCAGACATTTTGCACGGCAGCGCTGAAGGCTCAATGAAATATTCTCACTATGTCCCACTTTATTTGTAATTCTCATACTCACTCATACTCGGTTTGCCTCACCATGGCGCATTTGAGTAACCAAAGTTAACCAAAGCTCGAAGCTTTGCCGAGGCTGGCAATGCAGCACAAGATTTGATGCAGATGGACTGGTTTCCAGCTTCTTGGCTGCTCATCGACGATCATTTTGTGATGGGATTCGCTGGATTTAATGGATTCAACTCAATAGTTCATCCATTCCATGGCAGCGGCACTTTAAACATTTTTAAACTGTCTTGTTTTTGTGCGCATTTGATTTGAACTGTCTTTTTGAACAGAAATGCACACCTCCATTGAATCGGTCAGTGGTGCCAGTTACCACAAGTTGCCACTATTCTTACAGATCTACAATGATCTAAGTGCTTTCCATACTTTTCCATTCTTGATTCTTGTTTTATATATAATATGATATAATTTTCCATCCTTTTCCATCCTTTTCCATCCTTTTCCACCAAGATTTGATGAGATTTGGATGGGATCCGGAGGTCTTGGGCGCTTCACCAGCTCCTCGGATCTTTCCGCGAAGTGCTTCAAAGACGGCACTCACCCTGGACACAGTGCAGCTAGGCCTCGCGGCGATGTATTCAGCACAACTGCAGAGAGAGAGAGAGAGAGAGATGGTATGACATGCTTCGAAATGGCTTCGGGAAGCGTTTGCGTCCTCCATTCATTATGTTCTAGTGATTCTAATGTGAGGTTCCTTGGCATTTTCACAGATTTTGGGAACTTCACGTCTGTGCGCAAACTCTTATGCTCTCCAGGGGTGCCGTTTGGTCAGCAGATGTCAGCAGTGCCAGAGAAAGGGGTTCTCACAATCCAAAAAATGAAGAATATTGCACAGTCTCATTGTCAGGCAGCGGACGAGGACAAAGGCTTTCCGCTGAGACTGCATCTGCAACGCTTGCATTCTTGCTGGATCTTCGTTCTGCAAGGCCTCAAAACACAGCACATACCAAGAGCTTGAAAGAGGATCCAAGAGGTTAGATGATTGGGAAGCATTGACTTTGACACTATGACTATGACCAATTGGTGAGGTAACTTTCTAGATTCTAGATCCCCATCTGGTGATGCAGATTATTCTCCTGGGAGTTCACTATCAAAATTAAAAATTTTGAAATCACCGATTTGCACATGCTAACCCATGCGTCCCTTCGAACCCAGGAAAATAATTTTGGTTCAAAATATTTCAAAATTATTTAAGGGCTGCCGCCCCTGCCGCCGACCCCGGTAAAGAATCGGGGATTGCTGGTGAAACAGGCAAGCTGTGTGACGAGAAACTTTGGCAAATGCATTATCACAAGCAAGAAACCAGCAGCCAGACACCTTTTGTAAAACACAACCGAAACAGCAAAACACCACCTAATTTCGTGCCGAACATAACGCAAAATCAATCACAATAATAGGTTTTCGGGGGCCGAAACGTCCCTTCTGAAATCCTACTAGAAATCCAATTTTGTCCAATAGAAATCTAATTTTAGTCAAATTTGATTGATCGCTAATTTTGATTGCTGCTGCTACCTCTAATAAAGCAAGAAACCAGCAGCCAGACACCTTTTTTAAAACACAGCCGAAACAGCAAAACACCACCCAATTTCGTGCCGAACATGACGGAAAATCAATCACAATATTAAGTTTTCGGGGGCCGAAACGTCCCTTCTGAACTCCTACTAGAAATCCAATTTTGTCCAATTTTGATCTCTAATTTTGACTGCTGCTGCTGCCTATAATAAAGCAAGAAACCAGCAGCCAGACACCTTTTTTAAAACACAGCCGAAACAGCAAAACACCACCTAATTTCCTGCCGAACATGACGCAAAATCAATCACAAGAATAGGTTTTCGGGGGCCGAAACGTCCCTTCTGAAATCCTACTAGAAATCCAACTTTGTCCAATAGAAATCTAATTTTGTCCAATTTGATCTCTAATTTTGATTGCTGCTACTGCCTCTAATAAAGTAAGAAACCAGCAGCCAGACACCTAATTTCGTGCCGAACATGACGCAAAATCAATCACAATAATATACCAATGTTTATAGTTTTCGACCAATGTTTATACCACTGTTTGTTGCTGCTGTTGCCTCTAATAAAGCGAGAAACCAGCAGCCAGACACCTTTTTTAAAACACAGCCGAAACAGCAAAACACCACCCAATTTCGTGCCGAACATGACGGAAAATCAATCACAATATTAAGTTTTCGGGGGCCGAAACGTCCCTTCTGAAATCCTACTAGAATCCAATTTTGTCCAATTTTGATCTCTAATTTTTGACTGCTGCTGCTACCTATAATAAAGCAAGAAACCAGCAGCCAGACACCTTTTGTAAAACACAGCCGAAACAGCAAAACACCACCTAATTTCGTGCCGAACATAACGCAAAATCAATCACAATAATAGGTTTTCGGGGGCCGAAACGTCCCTTCTGAAATCCTACTAGAAATCCAATTTTGTCCAATAGAAATCTAATTTTAGTCAAATTTGATTGATCTCTAATTTTGATTGCTGCTGCTACCTCTAATAAAGCAAGAAACCAGCAGCCAGACACCTTTTTTAAAACACAGCCGAAACAGCAAAACACCACCCAATTTCGTGCCGAACATGAAGGAAAATCAATCACAATATTAGGAAAATCAATCCAATTTTGTCAATATTAATTTTAATCAAATTTGATTTTCGGGGGCCAGCAAACGCCCCTTCTGAACATCCTACTAGAAATCCAATTTTGTCCAATTTTGATCTCTAATTTTGACTGCTGCTGCTACCTATAATAAAGCAAGAAACCAGCAGCCAGACACCTTTTTTAAAACACAGCCGAAACAGCAAAACACCACCTAATTTCGTGACGAACATAACGCAAAATCAATCACAATAATAGGTTTTCGGGGGCCGAAACGTCCCTTCTGAAATCCTACTAGAAATCCAATTTTGTCCAATAGAAATCTAATTTTAGTCAAATTTGATCTCTAATTTTGATTGCTGCTGCTGCCTCTAATAAAGCGAGAAACCAGCAGCCAGACACCTTTTTTAAAACACAGCCGAAACAGCAAAACACCACCCAATTTCGTGCCGAACATGACGGAAAATCAATCACAATATTAAGTTTTCGGGGGCCGAAACGTCCCTTCTGAAATCCTACTAGAAATCCAATTTTGTCCAATTTTGATCTCTAATTTTGACTGCTGCTGCTACCTATGATAAAGCAAGAAACCAGCAGCCAGACACCTTTTGTAAAACACAACCGAAACAGCAAAACACCACCTAATTTCGTGCCGAACATAACGCAAAATCAATCACAACAATAGGTTTTCGGGGGCCGAAACGTCCCTTCTGAAATCCTACTAGAAATCCAATTTTGTCCAATAGAAATCTAATTTTAGTCAAATTTGATTGATCGCTAATTTTGATTGCTGCTGCTACCTCTAATAAAGCAAGAAACCAGCAGCCAGACACCTTTTTTAAAACACAGCCGAAACAGCAAAACACCACCCAATTTCGTGCCGAACATGACGGAAAATCAATCACAATATTAGGTTTTCGGGGGCCGAAACGTCCCTTCTGAACTCCTACTAGAAATCTAATTTTATCAAATTTTGATCGCTAATTTTGATTGCTGCTGCTGCCTATAATAAAGCAAGAAACCAGCAGCCAGACACCTTTTTTAAAACACAGCCGAAACAGCAAAACACCACCTAATTTCCTGCCGAACATGACGCAAAATCAATCACAAGAATAGGTTTTCGGGGGCCGAAACGTCCCTTCTGAAATCCTACTAGAAATCCAACTTTGTCCAATAGAAATCTAATTTTGTCCAATTTGATCTCTAATTTTGATTGCTGCTACTGCCTCTAATAAAGTAAGAAACCAGCAGCCAGACACCTAATTTCGTGCCGAACATGACGCAAACAATCAATCACAATAATATACTAATGTTTATAGTTTTCGACCAATGTTTATACCACTGTTTGTGCAATAAGATATAGAACCCTCCTGTTGCTCCTGTTGCTGCTGCTGCTCATGGCCACCACTTGAAACGCTGAAACGCCACCTAATTTCGTGCCCAAAACGCTCCAAAATCGAGCCCAAAAAGTGCCTAACGTCCCTTCTGAAATCCTAGGAAAAAAAAAATGCCTTTGTGATATGTCAAACACCTATTTCTCCTGCTGCTGCTGCTGCTCCTGCTCCTGTGACTCCTTCTGTTCAAAAGGCACCTGCCGGATGGGAAAACACCATGGCAGTAGGAGTCAAAAGTATTATTCCCTGGCACGCTCCCCCTTGCGTCTGCCGGGGTCGGCGGATATTGACTGCTGGCTACTGGCTGGGTGCTGCTGTCTTATTCCCTAACGCGCTCCCCCTTGCGCAGCCGGGGTCGGCGGATTTTACAAACGTCCGGCCACAGGAAAGTAATGTTCATGGGGGGGGAGTTCACTAGAACATATATGTACCTCAAACTCCAGGAAAAAAATGTCCCATGATTGTTTGAGGGGGTATGGTTCTTTACATGACTCCAAAAGGTTGGGAACCAGGATTTAAATCTGTGGAAATGGTGCTATAATGATTATAATGCTGAATGTGCATAGGTTAGACATCAGGAACAAATTCCAAAAAATGTGTCAACGCACGCCCAAATTGCAAAGCACGTGTTTTTTACTGAAGATACATTTGTCCTTGCAAAGGGGTACGAATAGGTGTGTTCATTTTCACAAACATTGAAACAGTTACTTGAAGAGGTCGAGGCGCAGGTGTCAAAAATAAGATCCAAGCGGATGATCTTCAAAGGTTGGCCCCACAGGAAAAAGTCGCATCACCAGGCCAACCATCCATAGATAGGAAATGATGGGACAAATTCAAGAATTTTGTGTCAACGCGCGCCTAACATGCAAAACACATGTTTTTTGCTGAACATACATTTGTCCTTGCAAAAGGCTACAACCACATATGTTCAGCTTCACCAACCAAAAAGGTGACTTGAAGAGGCCGAGGCGCAGGTGTCAAAAATAAATTCCAAGGGGCTGGACCTTTTTTTGGCTGAATACATGCGGATGATCTTCAAAGGTTGGCCCCACAGGAAAAACGTCGCATCACCAGGCCAACCATCCATAGATAGGAAATGATGGGACAAATTCAAGAATTTTGTGTCAACGCGCGCCTAACATGCAAAACACATGTTTTTTGCTGAACATACATTTGTCCTTGCAAAAGGCTACAACCACATATGTTCAGCTTCACCAACCAAAAAGTGACTTGAAGAGGCCGAGGCGCAGGTGTCAAAAATAAATTCCAAGGGGCTGGACCTTTTTTTGGCTGAATACATGCGGATGATTTCAAAGGTTGGCCCCACAGGAAAAACGTCGCATCACCAGGCCAACCATCCATAGATAGGAAATGATGGGACAAATTCAAGAATTTTGTGTCAACGCGCGCGTAACATGCAAAACACATGTTTTTTGCTGAACATACATTTGTCCTTGCAAAAGGCTACAACCACATATGTTCAGCTTCACCAACCAAAAAGTTGACTTGAAGAGGCCGAGGCGCAGGTGTCAAAAATAAATTCCAAGGGGCTGGACCTTTTTTGGCTGAATACATGCGGATGATTTTCAAAGGTTGGCCCCACAGGAAAAACGTCGCATCACCAGGCCAACCATCCATAGATAGGAAATGATGGGACAAATTCAAGAATTTTGTGTCAACGCGCGCGTAACATGCAAAACACATGTTTTTTGCTGAACATACATTTGTCCTTGCAAAAGGCTACAACCACATATGTTCAGCTTCACCAACCAAAAAGGTGACTTGAAGAGGCCGAGGCGCAGGTGTCAAAAATAAATTCCAAGGGGCTGGACCTTTTTTGGCTGAATACATGCGGATGATCTTCAAAGGTTAGCCCCACAGGAAAAAAGTCGCATCACCAGGCCAACCATCCATAGATAGGACATGATGGGACAAATTCAATAATGTTGTGTAAACGCGCGCCCAAAATGCAAAACACATGTTTTTTTGCTGAACATACATTTGTCCTTGCAAAAGGCTACAACCACATATGTTCAGCTTCACCAACCAAAAAGGTGACTTGAAGAGGCCGAGGCGCAGGTGTCAAGAATAAATTCCAAGGGGCTGGACCTTTTTTTGGCTGAATACATGCGGATGATCTTCAAAGGTTGGCCCCACAGGAAAAACGTCGCATCACCAGGCCAACCATCCATAGATAGGAAATGATGGGACAAATTCAAGAATTTTGTGTCAACGCGCGCCTAACATGCAAAACGCATCAAAACACATGTTTTTTGCTGAACATACATTTGTCCTTGCAAAAGGCTACAACCACATATGTTCAGCTTCACCAACCAAAAAGTTGACTTGAAGAGGCCGAGGCGCAGGTGTCAAAAATAAATTCCAAGGGGCTGGACCTTTTTTTGGCTGAATACATGCGGATGATTTTCAAAGGTTGGCCCCACAGGAAAAACGTCGCATCACCAGGCCAACCATCCATAGATAGGAAATGATGGGACAAATTCAAGAATTTTGTGTCAACGCGCGCGTAACATGCAAAACACATGTTTTTTGCTGAACATACATTTGTCCTTGCAAAAGGCTACAACCACATATGTTCAGCTTCACCAACCAAAAAGGTGACTTGAAGAGGCCGAGGCGCAGGTGTCAAAAATAAATTCCAAGGGGCTGGACCTTTTTTGGCTGAATACCTGCGGATGATCTTCAAAGGTTGGCCCCACAGGAAAAAAGTCGCATCACCAGGCCAACCATCCATAGATAGGAAGTGATGGGACAAATTCAAGAATTTTGTGTCAACACCAACGCGCTCGCAAAATCCAAAACACAGGTTTTTTTGCTGAACATACATTTGTCCTAGCAAAAGGCTACAACCACATATGTTCAGCTTCACCAGCCAAAAAAGGTGACTTGAAGAGGCCGAGGCGCAGGTGTCCAAAATAAATTCCAAGGGGCTGACCCTTTTTTTGACTGAATACATGCGGATGATCTTCAAAGGTTGGCCCCACAGGAAAAAAAGCCGCACCACCAGGCCAACCATCCATAGATAGGACATGATGGAACAAATTCAAGAATTTTGTGTCAACTCGCGCCCAAAATGCAAAACACATGTTTTTTTGCTGAAAATACATTTGTCCTTGAAAAAGTCTACAACCACATATGTTCAGCTTCACCAACCAAGAAGGTGACTTGAAGAGGCCGAGGCGCAGGTGTCAAAAATAAATTCCAAGGGGCTGGACCTTTTTTTGGCTGAATACATGCGGATGATCTTCAAAGGTTGGCCCCACAGGAAAAACGTCGCATCACCAGGCCAACCATCCATAGATAGGAAATGATGGGACAAATTCAAGAATTTTGTGTCAACGCGCGCCTAACATGCAAAACACATCAAAACACATGTTTTTTGCTGAACATACATTTGTCCTTGCAAAAGGCTACAACCACATATGTTCAGCTTCACCAACCAAAAAGGTGACTTGAAGAGGCCAAGGCGCAGGTGTCAAAAATAAATTCCAAGGGGCTGGACCTTTTTTTGGCTGAATACATGCGGATGATCTTCAAAGGTTGGCCCCACAGGAAAAACGTCGCATCACCAGGCCAACCATCCATAGATAGGAAATGATGGGACAAATTCAAGAATTTTGTGTCAACGCGCGCCTAACATGCAAAACACATGTTTTTTGCTGAACATACATTTGTCCTTGCAAAAGGCTACAACCACATATGTTCAGCTTCACCAACCAAAAAGGTGACTTGAAGAGGCCGAGGCGCAGGTGTCAAAAATTAATTCCAAGAGGCTGGACCTTTTTTTGGCTGAATACATGCGGATGATCTTCAAAGGTTGGCCCCACAGGAAAAAAGTCGCATCACCAGGCCAACCATCAAAAGATAGGACATGACGGGACAAATTCAAGAATTTTGTGTCAACGCGCGCCCAAAATGCAAAACACATGTTTTTTGCTGAAAATACATTTGTCCTTGCAAAAGGCTACAACCACATATGTTCAGCTTCACCAACCAAAAAGGTGACTTGAAGAGGCCGAGGCGCAGGTGTCAAAAATAAATTCCAAGGGGCTGGACCTTTTTTTGGCTGAATACATGCGGATGATCTTCAAAGGTTGGCCCCACAGGAAAAAAAGTCGCATCACCAGGCCAACCATCCACAGATAGGACATGGTGGGACAAATTCAAGAATTTTGTGTCAACGCGCGCCCAAAATGCAAAACACATGTTTTTTGTTGAACAGACATTCGTCCGTGCAAAAGGCTACAACCACATATGTTCAGCTTCACCAACCAAAAAGGTGACTTGAAGAGGCCGAGGCGCAGGTGTCACAAATAAATTCCAAGGGGCTGGACCTTTTTTTGGTTGAATGCATGCGGATGATCTTCAAAGGTTGGCCCCACAGGAAAAAAGTCGCATCACCAAGCCAACCATCCATAGATAGGAAATGATGGGTCAAATTCAACAATTTTGTGTCAACGCGCGCCAATATTGCAAAACCGGCATTTTGTCTGAGGATACATTTGTCCATGCAAAAGGGTGCAAACACATATGTTCAGCTTCGCCAACACAAAAAATGAGCTGGACACGTTCGGATCCACGATTTAATATGTTCCAGGCGCGGGTTATTTGCTAAAGTTGTGATCCTTGCAGCCCAGAAAATTGTTAACACGTGATTTAATTTGGGAGGTTCTGAAATTGCGGTAAGCCCCAAAGCATCTAATTCTTAATTTTAAATACTCTTAAGTAACTGGGAATGTGGTGATTCATACGATAAACAATTGAGTTTTGGGTTCGTCTTCAGATAGCCCCCACTCGAACCTGTCATGGGCTCGAAACATTCATATGTAAACCTTGGGTCCCAGGAAATTAGTCTATTAACAGCATATGTTGAGGGGTGGTTTGTTGAGCATTGTTTGAGGGTTGGCACCCAGGAATTAAATTAATAACAGAAGGGCAGAAATTCCTTTCTGGAAACCTTAGGCATCAGGAAATTTGTGCCTGCAAGTTTTATTCGTCTGAGACGATAAATTCCAGCAAGAAAGGTCAGGCACCAGGATTTTAATCTCAAAAAGGTCAGGACCCCAAATATTAATCGCGATATTTTCCTAGGACAGGACTCTCCGGGGTGCGCCAGAGGGGGATGATTCTAGCGGATCAGATCAGAGTGGTACGTTGAAGAAATCCAAACAGAGCGTTGTGCATGTTCTATATACTATAAATATATCTATCTATTTGTCTGTCTGTCTGTCTATCGATCTTTCTATCTATCTGTCTATCTATCTATTCTAATCTACAGTAATCTAATCTATTCTAATCTAACCTTATCTTATTTTATGTTATCTTATCTTATCTAATCTTATCTAATCGTATCTCATCTTATCTGATCTATCTATCTAATCTAATCTTATATATTATCTAATCTAATCTAATCCAAATCCAAATCTAAATCTAAATCTAATCTAATCAAATCAAATCTAATCTAATCTACTGTAGTCTAAATCTAAATCTACATCCAAATCTAAGTCTAATCTAATCAAATCTAATCTAATCTAATCTTATCTTATCTTATCCTATCTATCTATCTATCTATCTGAGAGATTAGCTTGAGTTCTCTGGCAGTATGAGTGACCACGTGGCCCTTGTCTCCAAGAGAGCCAGCCTGCAGCCAAAGGCTCCGCAGCTGCATCCACTCGCGAGCACTCTGCAATTTGACTTGCGACACTGCTCCGCAGATTGCATTGTGGCTGCTTTCCCATGCAGGCAGGGTCCGAGAACCGTTTTGGGGTTTGAACATTTTGAACGGATCATTCCACGCGCATTTTGGCCGGATCAACTCCCTCAACACGTCAACCATTTGGTGGCACCCATTGGAATCCCAGGTGATGCACAACGACTGGCTTGCGTTTGTAAATCCTTTCGCGGACTGGTGCAACTCTACAGGAACCAATGGCCAGATGCTCCTTGGCGACATAGTGGGTAGGGGATTTTGGGGGTGATGTTGGCCACAAAGTGCCACAAAATTCGGCCCAGAGATGTCAATCAGGTGGAGACACTAATCATAAATTCTATATATATATATATTATATAAATATATGTGTGTGTACCGGATATATAAATATAATTATAGAGAGAGAGAGACATGTATGACACCTCGATAAAGTTCATGAGAAAAAATCCTGCTTGCCCTTGAGCTTGGGGAAGGAAGAGGGCGCGAGGAAACAGAGTGCATCATCCGACATTTCATTTGAGCATATTTGAGCAAGGATGATCACAAGCGATGCAATGCCAGCATCCCACCCGAGGACTTTCTCCGCTTGTTTCAGCTTCACGGAAGTCAGATGCCTAGAGAAGATCTTAGCTGTTTCTCATGTTTTCCTCACTCGTTTTTGAAGATGTAACGTCGCCTTTTAGTTGCAATGTCTATGACTATTATTTGTTCAATTTTTATCGAATATATTATTATATATATAATATATATATATATATATATCATATGTTCCTTTTGCCGGGACATGAATCCCACAGTAGCCACCGCATTCCTTTTTCCAGCTTTTAGACGCGTGATTCCAGCATATTCCAGCAATTGATCATTAGGCCATGGCTGGCCGGTGGGTAAGCCTAACCAAGTCTTGCAGGCATGGTCGAAACAATGATTTGCGTAGAATTAATGATCACTTCAACATGCAGCACAAACTTGGACAAACAAAAGCAGATGGTCGGTGCTAGATTTTCATAGATTTTCCGAGTTCGCAGGGAACACTCCAGTAGTACTTCGCCGTTCCAAGGTGTCCGCACTTGAAAAATGACGTTTTTAATTTTAATTGTGTTTGATTCATCCGCAGCGAAATCACATACTTGTATTTGCTTGCTTGGTGGTTGGACGGGTTGGAGGCCTCATGAACACGCAGCATGGCATGTGGCAATACGTGGCAATACGTGGCAATACGTGGCAATCAACCTTCAATCCCAGCATATCCCAGCCATGCAACAAGCAATGGAACTAATAGCATGCTTGTTTTGCAGATGCTAGCTGCATCTAACTGCTATCATATATAACATATTATAACATTATATTCCGGAAATGTCAAGGAATCAGCGCCGTAGCTGATCATAGTAAAATCATTGGTAATCTTCCGAAGCATGTCGGTTACAATGGCATCGATATCCGATGATATCCGCCAATGTGAAGGTGCTCTCGCGAAGTTCTTGGCAAAACATGCTGCATTTAACCGACTTGCCGGCCTTCCGTGACAATGCTTGGCCTGTGCATGTGACGTCCGTGGCATTAAAGATGCCGGCCAAAACTCAGCCAGACAATTAGAAGCTTTGGCAGAAGAACTGGTGATCAAGTGATATTATCAAGTGTGTGTGTGTGTAATTGTGTGTATGTGACTGTATGCTTCTGTGTGTAAGTTTCTCTTTTGATGCCAGACGATGCCAGACTATATACTCGTACTGCAGTCTATAGAAAAATCATGAAAATTGCACACGGAGAGATGAGGAAAGGACCATATGCCAGACTGGCCTTTATGCAGCATTACAATAATTGTAATAGTATAGTTACAGCAGTAGATAAAGGAGAGTCACAAAGCGCGTTTCGCATCGTTTCGCCTTACCTCCCAGCACGTTTCGCCCAGCTTGGACTTTTCAACACTGCGGGAGCTCCGTGGGCCTTTTGCAGCCTTTGCATGGAAGCTTCTTCATGATATACCATTACCTTGGGCCAAAATGCTGGCATCCAGGCATGATGTGAGAACGGGAGAGTATGCTTGGGAAGAGGAAAGTTCTGCAGCTTGTTGATACTTTTTGCATGTATGTACAAGATTGTGCAAGGCCCTTTGTGATATTCAATGATTCGGTGTTCGATTGCTTCGATGCCTGGTGTGCGATTGCCAGATTGGCAACATGACAAGTGATATCTTAAGCTTGCAGGCCGATGGTTCGTGAAGGGATGACCTCATCCAGAGCTTCACCATCTGAGACTTGGCATATATTGGATTGTGACGTTTTGATATGTTCCTGGTTGGGGGTTCTGTTCTAGTATAATCTAGTTATAGATGTTGTACTGTCATTGTCTTCAAAAGCTGATTGTTGTCCCTGGCGGTCCCAAAGTAAAAGACTCTGAAGTGCCGCGGTCATCACATGGCATGTAAAGAGAAAAGAATGAGAGTTGCCAAGGACAGTGAGACAAAGACCCTTACAGCCGACCTTCTTTATGAGAATTGTCTTCAAGGTGGACTTGGGTTACGTTGGGTTATGGTAGATTCACAGCCATGCGGGGGACCGGCAGGAAGCAACATGAGATGCCTCAAATCTAACCAGTCTTAAGATTTGTTAAGATTCGTTGTTGCCTGATGTTGCGTGTCAACAGTCTAAGTTGTCAGAAGTATTGCAAAGTCTGTGGTAGCCAAGTTTGCTTTCTGCCAGAATTTTGGCAGCCTCGTTTTTTGGTTTAGGAGCCTTCTGTTGATCAATGATGACTGGATTCGACTTGGGAGGCCATCAGCATCTTGCAGGTCAGACTGGCCTTTTAGTGACCTCCGGTGGCTTCGTATCACGCAACGGATGTTTCATACGACGCCGTGTTGGTGCTGCCCTCCGGGATTTGGCAGCTTGGTGAGAACAACTTCGCAAACTGGTAGAGGCTGAGCACAGTGTACAGACACACTCCCTGGACTTCCTCGAACGTTCATCGACTGTGGCTGTGGATGGCTTTGGTTGGTTTTGGCATATTTTCGGATTATTTTCATATATTTTCATTCCGGGCACATGAGCAAATCACAAGTGAACTAAGGCTCGGACGGTTCCATCCTTGTGCCTTACAGGATGGAGCCAAGGATGGTCTTCCAGCTTTCGGGATGGTGGACAACTCTGTGGCTTAGACAGCATCAGGTTTGAGACCTGCACTATCAGTTTGTGCGTGTGAGGATCCAGGTTTGTACCATGTTGTGTGTGGTGTTTTTGCATGGATGCTTGGAGATAAAAATGCCTGCGAAAGATGCTTGTAGTCGAGTTGTTGTGTTTTTGTTCTTTGTTTATGGGTACTGGTAATGGAACTGGCACCACATGGAGTATACTTATAGTTTTTTCCAATGCTCCAGGTTTCTTCTGTGAGCGGGATGCAAGCGAGGACTTGCCTTGAGTGCACCTGCAACTGCAGGGCTGGAAGTTATCTATATAATGAGCATAGAGTAAGACACATTGGGAGATCACAATCTCACAGTGACGGAGGATGATCTACTGTATATATAGTCCAGATTTGGAAGACGGAACCATGGTCTTGCCCCTAGTGCAAGTGCAGAAGCAGGGAGCGTCAGTGTTTGCACAAGATGCTTGTGTTTGTAATTATGCGTTTGTCATGTTTGTTTCATCCAGACCCTGCACTGTGGAAAAACCCTATACTGACTATTTTGACGTAGCATGCTGAGCACATCTGAGCACGTTAAAATACAAATTCATGATATGTGATGATAAAACATTTTTCAAAATGATGCAGTTGATTAGACCCATACCATGCCATGCTGCTGACCGATTGAATCAGATACCAATGCACTCAATGTCTTGCAGTGCAAAAGCATTGCAAAAGCCTCGCATTTTTAACTAGGAGCGATGTCGACAGTGCAAAGACACACGCAGTTGGTCCACACTATCTGCAAGCTTTAGCACCTTGACATATGAAGCCTGCTGTGATTGCTTTGAGTGCTTTTGGTATCCGTTTTATGATGTTCTAGTACTACACATAACTTTTGCCCAACAACTTGGCAATGGCTTGCACGAAGAGGATGTAAATCTTCAGCGCCTGCGGTTGAGCTGCCATGACACTGGCTCAACATATTTAGAAAGCAATCAGAATTTAGAATCCCTATCAGAGACGCTATACTTCCAGATGCTCCGGCCGAGGTATGAGTTTCAGTCTTGAAGTCAACGGTGACCCAACTCAGGCAGTTTTTCTTTTGTGAGCACGCGTGTTGATTTTCAATGATTTTCATATATGTGCATGTGCCTAGTAGATCGTAGATCACAAATTTGGACGACTATTACAGTTGCACATGGCATCACGCTGCTAGCACAGGTAGAATTTGCAATCGAAGCTCGTGCTCTACCTTTCATGAGCATTAGCTCTGATGTGAGTGCCTTCGCAAGACTGGCTTTATCCAAAAGCAGTCCATAGAGCAGGGATCATGGAGATGCCATTCAAGTTCCAGGGGTAAAAGATTGCAAAGGGCAATTTTGCAGAATTCCAGAGGGCCGCTTTCTACAAAGCCTGTAAAGTGCCTAAACTCGTCCTGATGAGCTTGTTTCAGGCAAAAAGCATTTCTTGGGATGCTTGCGTTCCTTCCTTGAATGCCTCCGACAGAGCTACAAACTCCAAGAAAGGGCTTCAAAATAGCTCAAGTGGTTTCACTAGTCTTAACAGTCTGGCATGGTTTGGAAAGTCCTGACGGCAGAGTGCCTCAGAAGCACACTGAATAGTTGTCTCTAAACTCTTGCAACTTGACTATTTAACAAATTACAAGACCATGTGAGATCATGCAAGGTAGGTTTGTTTTCCATGTCAGCTTCGACGTGAGGAATATATGACAAGCTGGAGGATGTTTTTGGGAAGCTCGATGAGGTAGAGCAATTTGAAGACGATATGGACGAGAACAAGAGTGATGAAGATGAAGACACTGCGGAGTCTGCGGAGCAAGATAACGGCACAGAGACTGCCCGCGAAGGCGCCGAAGAAGCCAAGGATGACACGGACGGCATCTACGGCCTTGAAATGAACACATGTCTTGGCGAAGACCCCCATAATACATGATAAAACAATATAAAACATGATTAAACATGATAAAATCTGATAAAACATGCCTCAGGGGATGGTATAGCACATACATGATACCGTACATGACGTTTGCAGTATACCTACAGATTTGGCTGGCTGTGTCCCATTCAGCCTATTCGAACTATATTAAGACAGCTTGGCAAAGATACTGGGCAGATTCGGAGTGTGTCGAAGATGTCGGAGGAACATCCGGCTGGCATTCACAAATTTATGACATGGGAAATCATGGGAAGATGTCGATGATGTTTTCGCACCTCATAGTTGCTTTCCGCTCGCTTCCGCATGTTGCACAAGAGACTTGCATGACCTAGGCACGACTGAACTGCCTTCGTCACAAGACTCTATGTCTTCCATGGGATGAAATGAGGAGGTCACACAAAGATGTCCAGAGATGGCCACGCGTGCGCAAGGATGGCCACGGGCCCCGCAGTTCCTTGCATGCCAGCCGATGGATTGTGATTGCTCAAGACCTCTGATTCGAATCATGTAACAAGGCTAGTGCCAGAGTTGCAATTCTGCATGATGGTTGCAGTGCATGTTTGATCATCTTTGTATATCTTTGTCCTGTCCCTGATGGGGTTTTGAGCGATGCTTATCTCGATTGGCTGAACACTCTGTATGGTTTTCATTTCTGACGGCGGCCTTGGACATCCCTGATGCTTTGGGTTATGACGCGATATGACGCTAAAGTCTGTATCTGAACAGTTTGACTTAAGCATCTATCATTTACATTAATTTGCTGTATAAGTATGTATAAGTTACTTCACATTCATAGCAGGGCGGCGATGCAATGGGTCTTCTGCGACTAAATCAAGACGCATCGATCCATTTTCTTGTTCTCGCATTCATGGGTACAGTACATAATGTATGTCAGGATGTATTGCTAAAAGGCACTGCAAACAGATTTAGCATTTATATGCACGTATAGACTAGGGAATAGTGTGCCTATAGTCTTCCCTTACACGCATTCCATTCCACCCATACGGCCCATGCAGAAATCTCTGAGCGGCTGAAAGTCGACCAGCATGGCTATTTCAGCAGTTCATTTTGTACAAACAGCATCGCTTGCATCTGTTGGCGGAACAGAGTGGCAGAACAACATGTTCTTATATGTTCTTATAATATAGTTAACTAATGTATCTTGATGTTGGATCCTGATTAGTGTAAGGGGGACCTCCACCAAACATCTGAGGGGGTTCTCTTTAGGCTGGTAAGTTTTGAGGGACCAAGGTTTGAATATGTCTGAATAATGTTGGATCATGACCTCAAGTCAGGATTTCAATTGATTTCAATTTACTTTCAATTGATGTTCCTTTTGAAACCTTCAAGACAATGAATTGCAAAGAAAGGATTTCAATTGAAAACTTCAATTTACTTTCAATCATTCCAAGAATTCCAGATGATCACTAAGCAAGTTACAATAGCTAATCCAAAGACATCGATAAAGGATTCATGAACATGTTCAGCCAGAAAAAAGCTGACCAGAATAGAAGACCTCCACAACAAACATACTGTTGGAGATCTGAGTTGCTCATGGGCTACCCTTGAAAAAATGTTTGGGTGCTATTTTTCAATTGGGTTTTGATAAGCCATTTGAGTTTGAGAAATTGATATGTTTGTTCTAGTTGAATCTAAAAAGCAGTTAACAAACATCCTAAACAATATATAGCTTATATAGGTAATTGCTTTTAAACAACATGCTCAAAAACTCAAAGCTAAAAAAAAACATGCTGAAACATGCAGATGACATAGGGCCTGATTTTGTCAGAAAACTTGACAGAATACCGAACCATTGAAGTAACGGGGAACATTATGATGTTTGGCATCCGATATACATTCGATGTTTGAAGGCTTTTCCGCACCCAGAGGCAGGTGACATAACCTTTCTGGCACAGCCCATGGCTTCCTGGCACATTTGCCTCGGTTTAGAAGGCATATGGCATGGCCATGGCCTAGCCTTGAGGCTGAACTTAAAGATCCGGTCCTACTCGGACTAGCCAGGTCCAGGATTTGGGGTTGGCTTGGACTCTTGGTAAATGAATGTAAAGAATCGTTAAAAAAACATTAAAAAAAACAACAACATTAATGTATCTGAACTTATGATCAATGTTTAATGTTGTTTGCTTGCCCAACTTTTTGGCCACCACATGTTCTTGTTGTTCTTGGCCTGGGAAATTTCCGGACAAGTCCATATTCACAATTGCTGATGGCTTTGCTCATCGTGATTCTTGTAGGGCACAGGGCTTGTGGTGGGTTTCTTACTTGTGCTTTTGGTTTTACATCGACAGCTACATCCGAATGGATGCAAGTTCTTGAGAACTTGCACTGCCAAAGTGGCACACTCGCTTGAACGTGTTTGAAAATGTGCACATGCAAAGCTTGCCGCGGGGTTCTGTAGATTCGTCCTTGCCCCGTGGCTTTCGCCACCATTCAGGCCATTGATGGAATTAATGCTTCTTGACTGACGGTTTTCCTTTCATCACCTCCAAAGAAGTTTTGGTGTATTTTTTGCATATGGCGGTATACTGTATAATTACTTATGATATCTTATGATTATGATGTATAATTCTCCGGCCTCAAACTCCAGGCATCCACTTTGCCATTGGGTGAGGCTTTGCCAAAGGACAGTCACCATCCTTCAGCATCCAAATCTTGGGCAGTTTTTGTTTGCACCCAAACTGCGACTGAGATGAAGGTTTTATAGGCATTGAATGGCATTGATAGGTATACAGTCACTCCACTTGCATGCACTGCAGGAGATGGTTTTGCGTTCGGCCCACGCCTTGCTGCTGGACTTCCAAGGGCGCAGCTTGCTTGAAACCTCTTACGTTTCCAAGCGGCATGCTAAATCCAATGTTGCTATAGAGGCTCCATTTGCAATTTTGTGAGCACACCACAGCAATCTAGAGCGTGAAGCCAAGGCATCTTGATGGGCCGACAGCAGGCGCTTAAATTGCTCGGATCTGATGATCAGAGTGATGCCACCTTGTTAGAGTCTTCAGCGTATGTGTAGGAGAGGAGATCCTCCGCATTCTATCCTGATTTTATATGCGTGACCGCCTTCATTCGCCAAAATTGTCTTGCTTTATATGGAACATGGACCTTTTTCTCAACTGAGTAAGAGTAATTGTTTTTCTGTTCAATCACTTGGTTTGGTGTTTCAGAGACACGAGGAAAGGGTCGCACACTCACAGTGCGCACACATTTGAGTGGATTTGACGTTTGATGGAATACATTAAGCATAGTGATGGGAAAACCACTTGCGGGAAGCCTGAACGGCGCAGATTAGTTCACTTGGGGTTAGAAAAGCATGCGTGTAATGGTAATGAATTTGCAGCATAAGGGTTAGAAAGGCAACTTAATATAAGGGTTAGGCGTGGTCGTGCTTGAAATTGAAATCAGTGAAACAATCTGTGAAATAATCTATGAAACACTGTGTCGAACTCTTTGGGGATGGCGATGCAGCGAGTGACTCGGCAACAAAACACACTGATCCTGTGATATCTGTGACAACAACTGTTGAAGCCAATAATGGCCTGCATTGCATTGGCTGAAACCAGTGAAGCAAGGCATCTATGGCCTTTAAGATGCAAGAAATATGTGATGCACGCCAAAACAGTGCCTAGATGCATAGTTACACGCGCAGAAGCACATGTTACAGTACAACATCAACCAACCATGGGTAATCAGAGACAGATGAAAGTTCTGAAAGATATGAAAGGGCACTTCTCTGCCAAGATCTGCCGAGACACTCCAAGGTGTCACACGGATTGGTGTAGCGAGGAGTTCAGAAGCGTGATGGAGGCTTGGGACATCTTGGGACAACGGTCAGCAGCAAAGCGCGCCCAATGTTTGTCTCCGTGAGAGGGTGGTTTGAAAACGCCACGCGGTTTGAAATTACCATGTGACACGTGATTTGATGCAGCGTCTGTTTTGAAGTTACACTCAATGCAATATGCATGCATGATCATGCATGGCTGCAAAGTTTGTGTTCAGATTCCGTGTGCTCTGGATGTAACTGAGTGCATTTGCTGGTTCACTTCTGCCACTTTGGTCAGGATGCCTTTGAAATGGCAAGCAAGTGTCGCGAAAGCCCATGATGTTAACTCGCGAAAAGGGTGGCAAGCACTGGGGCTTAAGTGACCGGACACCTCACGTTCAATCAAACTTGCCGTCCGGGTGTTCCCACCTACATAGTTTGATCTCGGTGGCATTTTTTTGCAGAGCTTCAACTATTGTGTGACATCCCCCCCCCTTTAACCCTGGAATATTTGGGGGGGGGGGTAAGGCAAGAAATTTCTGAGAAATATTTCACCTGACCACATGAAATATACCCCCCCCACATGTTTTTGGGGCTTCCAAAAGATGTGGGGGGGGTCCTCCGGATGCAACATTTTAGCCCAGAGATGGTATGGCACACCCTTTCATTTTGAACATACATACATACATACATTCATACTTTCATACATTCATATATATATACACATACATGTACTTAAATACACATAATGTATGTAGATATATATATATATAATATTGGCACAAACATACTTACAGAAAAATGCAACGGTGAAATTTTTGAGGGGGGGTAGTTGCAAAACCATTGTATTTTACAGTTCTAGCAGGGTTCCCCCCAAAAAAATCCATTGCCAATGCTGGAGGAGCCCCTTCTTGTTTCCTACCCCTGCGGTAAATAAATAATTACAACAGCGAAATTTTTGAGGGGAGGTAGTTGCAAAACCATGGTATTTTACAGTTCTAGCAGGGTCCCCCCCGAAAAAAATCAATTGCCATACCTTTTAGTCCTTACGCGGGTAGGGGCCACGCGCAAACCACACAACTAGGTAAATGGATGTAAATGGTAACTGCCAGTTTCCAAGAAAATAAATAAGAGAGTGAACTTGTCAAACAGCCTTCAGAGCTTGACGTTCAGCCTTGAATTCAACCAGGGCCTGGAGAGACCATTATAAACCAGAAATTTTTAGCTGAAATATTTCTAGGTGTGGGGGGGGGTGACCCCCCCCCCAAAGTGAAATATTTCAGTTTTTAACCCCTCCCCACCCCCCCCCCTTAAAGGGGGGGGGGATTGTGTGACATTGTACGTGTGACTAAGTAATGTTTTGTGATAGTTTGTGATCGATATGATATGATATGATATGTCGATATGATGTACTGCTGTTTTGGCTCTGTGGTTGTTTGGTCTTCTAAGCTTATTCCCCATGCAGGCTGCAGGGCAATAAAGCATTGCACCATCCTTCAGCTTGGCCCTGGATGACAGGGACCTCCGTAGGTGTTTCATAATTGTTTCATAGGGTTGCCTTCCAGCTACATGTACGTTGATTCTGGTTGTCCCCTTGTGGGAGCTTCCTACTCTGCCGTCGATCAAGTCTCGCACCATGACCCCGGGAAGTGTTTATATATAAAGAAATCAATCAGTTCCCCTTCAAAGCTTGATGGATTTGGATAATCTCCGAAGCCCTCAGAGGGATTTGGCAATTGAAACTTGGCGCTGCGGCTGTCACTCATAGTCATAGTTGTCATAGTTGTCATATAGTTGTAGCCATGCGCGGAGAGATTGATCCCGGCACCTCTCGAGTTGTTGCGGCTTTGAACCGGGTAGGGCAGCCCCAGGTTGCTTTGAGAGGTCGGTGCCCCTTGCCGGCAGAAGATGTGTTATGACTTATGACATATGACAGTGCGAATGTTATGTGATATGTGCCGATTTTCAGAGATGCTTCAGGGACTTCAGGGTGTCAGGTTGTATCTGTATGGGCCAGTATGGGTGTTGTTCATGGATGGGTTTTGCTGTTTGCTTGGCATTTTTGCACACGGAAAGGTTGGAAGCCGAGGTCTACACGTGGCTGGCACGAATGGCAAGGGCAGCGTGTGCGCAATGATGTTCGCTGTTTGCAACTCGCTAGCGTTTGACCGATTCGACCAAACAAATGGAGCTCAGAGAATCCCGCAGACTTGGAAGGCGATGCGATTCGACCTACCATCCATATACCATCCATTTACCTTATAACTTGCCCCATTTGCTCAATGGACTCATTCCAAATCTGCGATGAGGCAAACACGCCGGCTTACGAGTTGGTATGCTTACGAGCCCACATTTGCTGGAACCCTTGGATGCCATTTATTTGGCGGGAAGCGGAAAGAATTTGCCAATTGAGCCAAAGATGTGGAGAATGCTGGAAGATGAAGTTCAGAAGGCATGTTGTATTGGTGCTGGCTATGCCTCTGAGTTTCCTGCCATCAATGCCTTTATTGAAGCTGCTTCAAAAAACAGTCCGACCATTTTGACTGGCCATGACTGATTTGGCCCCCTTGTTTCGGAGGGTTTTCTTTGGCCCACGACTTCTCTCGCTCTCCTGGCAGAAATTGAGGTCTGCGGAAGTTGCTTTGACCGTTTTCGAGCTTCAAGTCGTCACAGCCTTGCTTTTCTTTGCACGGCAGCAGGTGGATGTGGCCATCATTGAAGTTGGCATGGGAGGCAGGTGCACGTGTCGAACATCCCCTCGTACATACAACACAAAACTCAACCCCACCTGACTCTTTCATAGTTAATCGATGTTAATCGTTACATCAGGGATATTCATTATGATTCATAATTCATAATGCATCTGTTTGTTGGCTCGGGCACAAACATGAAGCTTTGACAGGGCGAGATGATGCTACCAACGTTTTGCTGGAGCCTGCCGCCTGCTGTATTACGAGCATCGCGCTCGATCACGAGACTCTTGTTTCACATCATGTAGCCTTTACGAATTTCTGATGCCAACCGCCAACGAGCTTTCCCCAACAAAGCTGCCCTTTGGCCCCTGTGGCATAACTTATTTAGATTTATTTGGCTTCGTACCCAGCAGTAAGGAAGTTTCTGGGCCCCACCCATGAGGAGATTGCGAAGCATAAGGCTGGAATCTTTCAGCGAGGAAGGCCAGCCTTTGTGGCCACCAACGGCATGTCCCTGGCTGCAAATGTTATGTTACTTACTAACTATGTTTAAATATATACGAGTTTAATATAGTTTTCTAATGTGTTCATATGTGTTCCATTCTTTTCTTTCACTGCCTAAGGCTTAAGACTGTTTGTAAATGTGGTATGATGTGGTTTTTGGTAGATTTGGTAGGACTCTCCTTTGTCGGGCTCTCATTTCCTGGACATAGTAAGGTCAGGGAGCGTGCAACAAGTCATTGCGGAAATTGCACACTCGGTTGGTGCACCACTTTCTTGGATCCCACCTGCAGACTTGGGACAGAGTCCATCCCATGGCGCGCGCCCACTGGCTCAGTTCCTGCAAGTGAAAGGCTTCAGCCACATGCTTCAGGTTGGTCCTGCTATTGCATTTTCTAATTGGAGCCGGTTATGATGAAACAATGAGGGTCGGAGGTTGAGGTGGCCAAATCAGACAGGTTGTGCAGGACTAGGTGTTACTTGCACTTAAAACATGTTAACACATGTTAACACTATTTAATTTAACACCAATTGATTGGATATTGATTGGAATTGATTGGGATTGGGTGCTTTGTTGCTGATATATGTTTTTGTCAACAATGGTATTCCCACCCAGTTTTCTAGCTCAGAGTGTGCTGAAGTCCAGGTGCCGCTGTTGGGTGATTATCAACGTTCCAATGCTGCTTTGGCGCTTGCGCTGCTTCTGGAGCTTCGTTCCAGCAAGTTGCTGAGCAAAAGTTGATGGCCCTGCCCTGCGCAAATTGGACGTTCGGCATCCAGATTGTAAAAATAGCTAAACATATATATATATATATATGGATATCATGTATATCAGATATAGGTATGCATAGATTTCCCCCAATTAGCAAGTATATAGTAGTATTTATCAAAGGTCCCCGAGTGCATATATATAATTATGCATATATAGTATGTATAGTTGTTTTTTTTGCACCTAAATGCCTCGGAAGTCAAACCAATCTCGACCAGGTTGCCCTTGAAAAGCCGACCAGAGATTTTGGAGGGCCAGCTGGACGATCTCACCATTGTCCACCAGTCAGAATCTTCAGATGTTTCAACAAATCATTTAAACACCTTTGTTTTTCTTGAGGTTTAATATGATTTAATATGATACTATATGAATCTATCTGATATTTAATGAGTGGTTCCTCACTTGGTCACAGACTGACAGAGTAGTTTGGTTTGTATGGCGGCTGGAAACAGTGTAGACAACTTACAACTTGTCGCTAACTTTGTGGTCTCCTCGATGCTGGTTTCTGAGGTAGAGGGCTTGAAAGCCACCGCGTGGCCTGGTCGCTTGGACTGGCGGCAGCTGGATGACGGACGACTCTTTGCATAGCTGGCCCTGTCATTTTCCACGTTTCACTTGGACTATGTGCATCAGACCATTCAGACCTGGTTCTTGAATGAATATTCTTCAATCTTCGTGTGTTTCCATAAGATCAGTGGAGTTGGCTTTGGTGATTGTATGAGCCCAGTCAGACCAGTCATGCAGATCCCAGGAAAGATTTTGCTGGACGGCGCTCATAATCCCCATGCAGCCAAAGAGTTGGGGAGCTACGTTGCGCATTTCGTGAGACCTCAACCAGTGCAATGGATCATAGCCCTGAGCTATGGCAAAGATGCCAAAGGCATTCTGCAAGAGTTGCTCCAAGATGAGGACCAGGGTAACCCGCTGCGGAGGTTCTCAATGCCATTTAGATCGGGTTAGCAGCACTTTTTGGCTCAATCGATTATTTTTTTCCGCGTCATTTTGAATTTGTCTCATACTGACGTGATTTTTCGTGCTTTTTCAAGGCATTGATGGCAAGCTGCATGCATGATAAATTATAAATGTGATATATTATCATGCTCACATCTGTCCATGGTTGGAGTCTCGGGTGAAGATTTATGATGGACAGTGAACAGGGATAATCATGAAGAACAACACCTATACTGTAGTTTATCAGACTGATCATCGGTGCTTTAAGGGATCTTGGCAGCTCATAGACGCAGCAGAAATAGTGCACTTGAGGGTGGGGTAGTTGGGTGCAAATCATGCGAAGGAAATGATAAGATGAAAGATGATGAAAGAGCCCTCATCTTATTTTGGCAGGAATTCCATATCAATGAAACTTCAATGAATATCATGGAATCCCTCTGCAGGACTCCCTCATTGCTGTGAGCTTTTCCAAGGTGGAGGCCATGCCGTGGGTGCGTCCCGAGTCCCCTGCGGAACTGGTGAAGCTTGCTCGGGAGGTAAGACCTACGATACGAGCCAAAGAAGCAGCCACCTTCCAAGAAGCAATTGGTGAAGAAGTCCAAAATCCTGCCAGTGTAAAGCCACAAATTGTGATTTGTGGATCATTGTATCTAGTAGCTGATGTGATTGCAACCCTGCAGTCAGAAGCCCAATGGGCATGCTGATGCTTCGCATTAGGATTTTCGATTGAAAAAAAAAGCCTTGCTTAGGAGGCATCCCCACCCAGACCACCGGAACCCGGGATACTTTGGCACTGCTGATTTTCGCGACTAAGTGACTAAGTCATAGATCCATTGATTAATTTTAATACCAGCTTTCATTGGCATCATCAAGTCAAGGATGCCTCCAAGTAGAGGCAAAAAGGAGATGAAGTCAATGATAAGGTGATGATAAGGGAGCTGGCAGCAAGCTAGCTTTAGTCCAACTGGATGCAATTATTCAATTTTTAGAATTGGATTTGGATGACTTTATGGATGCGATTGGATGCAATTGATCTACCGCGTACTGCTGTCCCTTTAGATTGGTACCTGCCTGACCTGACTGGATGAGGTCCGGAGCATCCTCACAGTCCCGGCCTCGGCTGTCCTGCACAGCTCGGCCACTCGTTAGCTGCTGTTCGCTAGAGCAAATTGATCCCATCAAAGCTAGGTAGCAGATGGTAGCAGCTAGGACATGTGTTGATCCAAGTTCGAATTTCCATCCATGTGACCGTGACTTTCGACTTCCAGGAACACCGTGAGGCAATCTCGCCTTAGAGGACTGTTACTCCGGTTTTTGTTCACTCTTCTCCACCCTGTGATTTTACCGCTACTCGTAGCAGTTGAATAGCACTTACTGTAATTGTCAAACACCTAGCAACAAACTTCAACAAACCAACTGTCCAATGAGCTGCATTTTGTATGGCATTGCCGGCCTTGAGGAGATTTTGGTGGACAGCAGCAACAGGTTGGAGATTTTCTGTGGCAGTGCTGTCAGAGATGCAGATAGATACAGAACATTGCCCAGAAGTGGAGCTTGGAGTGCGGATAGGTAAGAAAGTATGTGGGTGCTAATCCCATTCGCACAAGGTTATTGATCAAGTAAGTACTCGTATGCTAAGCCACAGCATGCCACAGTGATTTCAGCCATGACTGCAGACGTTTTGTCGTGGCCGTGTTCTCACCAGAAGTGACCTCCACTGGTCACCGACAGGCTTGGAAGGATGAAACTGAAGCGGTTCCCTTCTTCCAGAAGGCATTCTTGGATCTTTTGTTGGAACAAGTCTGTGGAGCGTTGCCTTTCGGCCCAGCACACCAGTCGGCTTGCACGGTCGAAATGGATGCACTATGACGATGACGATGAGGATGAGGATGATGATGATGATGATGATGATGATGATGATGATGACGATGACGATGAGGATGAGGATGAGGATGATGATGATGATGATGATGATGATGGTGATGGTGATGGTGATTGGTGACGGTGACGGTGAGGGTGAGGGTGATGGTGATGATGATGATGATGATGATGATGACGATGACGATGATGTTGATGATGTTGATGATGTTGATGATGTTGATGATGTTGATGATGTTGATGATGTTGATGATGTTGATGATGTTGATGATGATGATGATGATGATGATGATGTTGATGCTGCTGCTGCTGCTGATGATGATGATGATGACGATGAGGATGATGATGATGATGATGATGACGATGACGATGACGATGACGATGACGATGACGATGACGTTGACGTTGACGATGATGATGATGATGATGATGATGATGATGATGATGATGCTGATGATGATGATGATGGTGATGGTGATGGTGATGGTGACTCAGTGACGGTGAGGGTGAGGATGAGGATGATGATGATGATGATGATGATGATGATGCTGGTGGTGGTGATGATGGTGATGATGATGATGATGATGATGATGAAGAGGAGGCGGAGGCGGAGGGGGAGGGTGGGGGGGATGGGGAGGGGAGGGATGGATGGGATGGGATGATGTCCAACAACTATCCAACTTGTATGGTTCCATCATACGCTCATATGCTTTCACGCATGTTTTCACATGAAGGCCTGGGCGCTTTCTCTTGTCGCGGCAGTTTGCGTATGATTCTAAGTCTGACTTGGGCATTCTGCAGCTTCAGTCGCAGCCTAGAGGTTTGAATCCAGTTGTGATTCTGCGGAGCGCTGCCGCCCAGTCTTGAGTATCTTAAAATATCTATATGTATCTATATGTATCTATATATTCTTCAAGATTCTTAACGTACGTACTGTATCTTTAAGTTTGACTCAAAGTAACTTAAATAATCTCAAAGTATTTTAAAATATTTTGCAGTATCTTGAAGTCATAAATTTTGAACAGTGGCCATGTGACTGTTAACTTCATGCGCCTCGGCCTCTCGAAAGGAAGTCTAGCATACAAAGCGCAACAGACTAAGGTGACCTTTGCTGGACCACAAATAGAGCTTGGGGATCCAAGCACTGGACACCAGGGACATCCAGGGACTGATTAAATCTAATTACTGAGTCTTCAGTCGGAATTGTTTGGGGCTTGTACAGTACGCTAGCAAGGCTTTTCACCATTGGTTTGACTTGCGGCTCCCAAGATATCCATGTTGGAAATGCTGAGGCTTGGTCAGGCCAAGTTGGGTCCTGCTCCGGCCACAGCACTCAGTTGCACTTAATATTTTGCATAGCAAAGACAGATGACTAGGGCAAACCGGCAAACCGTTGGAAGCCCCGGCCAAAAAAAGACAGATTACATTTCATTTTCTTCTGGATTTGTGGATTTCCGAATTTCGAGACAGTTCTGTTCATGTTGCACATGCTCCATGAACCCTTCCACGCAGTTCCCTCAGATAAAGTCATGCCTGGGACGACTTGGGAGTGCACGCGTTCATACGATATCATACTAAACTTGGCTTCTTGGCTCAAGCATTTTACTGGCTGCAGCTGGATCTTCATTGACAATGTCTAGTCAGTTTTGAAGTGCGGACCAAGATTTCATGACGGATGTAGAGCAGAAGGATATCGAGGTGGCCCGCGAAGATCAAGAACGAATCAACAAATTTAGTCGTTTGAACATGCGATTTGATGAGTTAGACGAGGAAATCACTACGATGAAGAGCGAGATCCAGGCGTTCAAGGATGCTGTAGAGGAAGTTGAAGGTTGTATGGAAGCCGATGGTATTTTGATGAAGATTGGCGAGGCATACACTTCTGTAGATGAGGATTCAGTGACGGAGAAGTTGACAAGGCTCATCGACGACTCCGAGGCATCTTTGTCCAAAAAATCCGATGAGATTGAGCATGTGAAAACAGAGCTGGACTCCTTGAAGAAGTTGCTCTATGGAAAATTCGGAACCAGTATCAACCTGGAGAAATAGCTCCGGAGTGGCATGTATCTTAAGCGCATTTATGCGCTATGTACACTGTCTGTGACGTAGAAAAAGTCGAGCGATCATGTTCTGCACGGATGTGAAGTCTTAGATTTCAGTAGGTTGTTCATCCACAGCCACTCCACTGCCCACATCATTTGCCACGTCGACCCCCGGTTTTTAACTGGTTTTATTGGTTCCCGAGGCCTTTGCTCGATCCAGTGGTACTAGTGGCTCCGGCTCCAGGGTCAACAAGGACCCAGTGTCGCCTGGACCTTAGATGACCTTCGCTGCGATGGTCGCATCAGCGACGGCCATCAGGTTGCTCCAGTACGCCCTGCCCTTGGAGGAGCTGAATGGCGCTGACAAGGTGGGCATCGGAACATATCGGAACAAAAAGGATGGAAAGGAAAGGAGAACAAAAAGGTGAAACGTAGTGAAAATTGTAGTTGAACACTTTGAAGGCAAGTCAACAATAGATTGAAGGTTGCAGTGTGTGAATGTTTATATTGCTTCCATTTATTATTACATATTAAATATATGTAGTATCAATTATAATATACATACATGTATACAATATATTGCATTTGCGTTGTCATGGCTCAAAGTTGATGTACTTGGATGCGACTCACGCTATGACATATCATCCCATAGTGAACCTCATGCCCCCATTGTGCCTGGTACACCTGCTGGCACATTCGGTGGCAGCTGATTTGCCTGCGGCGACTCAGCACTTGGTGTTTCCTGAAGTTGCAGATGTACACCCCGTGTCAAGATCTGCAGTACTTTTCCAAGTAGCGGCACTACCCAGCAGAGTGCAGCCTATGAACAACACTCGCAAGCCTGCTGTCAACTCCAGTGGGCCCAGCGCTGTGGTGCCGAGCCGAGAGCACGTCAATCTGATTGCGATGGCTGTAGCGGTGTCTACCAAAATTGCTGCTGCACTGGGAGTGACGGACATCATCAGCCTTTGTGTCTTGGGCTTGGTGGTGCTGTTGGCCCTCTACTTCGTTTGGGGCGGCAGTGTGGACTCGCTCAAGGAGAATCCATATGGAGAACTGAAGCAAACTGGACAACGTGCAGGTCGAGAAGCCCAAGAGAAATTCCAGAAATGGCAGCAAGAGCAAAGGCCAAGTCCACATCACAGTGGCTCAGAACAGGGTTCTTACCCAGGCTCACCCACAGGCTTTGCCCCGGCTCGAGATCCCTTTGCTACACAGGGGGCAGAAAGCGGCTTTCGCAGGCAATTCCATGGTTGCTGCTGAGTGTTTCAGAGAGCATCCCCTGCCTGCCGGGAAAGGCTCGCCTTTTGCCTGACGGCTGACAGTAGCGTCAGGGGCTTGGCAAACGTGTGTGAGAGATGCCGTTTAGCTGCCGTAGAGCGCGCGCTCATGCCAATGTGAGTTTCGGCTTCGCACGAGTGAAAAAGATGATTTTGATGTCGGTCATGGCCGATCAAGCAGCTTGGTGTATCGGTGATTGAACTTGCAGTACAGTGCCACAAACTGAATGGTGAATCCCAGAAAAGGATCAAACAGAAACAGGTTCTCTGGTGTGAATATTGACCCAAACATACCCAAACCAATCCAAATGAACCCACTTCACTCAACTGCGACTGCATGCTACTGCTGTTTTGCATCACATGTTTGTTCCAGGTCAAGCCAATCCGCCAGCTGCAAGCAAATGTTGAAGAGTGCAGCGCTTATGCGAAAGATCCCGACATCTCCACGGCACTAGGCCTCTAGGACTCTAGGTACACACAAAAGAAATGGTGGGGCAGAGGGGCATGGTTGGGCAGTTGGATGACACAGATAGATATTATTGGCGAGATCGCACTTTATCTATTGTGTTTTCCAGAGGCATCACACCAGCAGATCAAACAAGCCCATTAGGTAAACGATTTTAAGAATGTCATCCTCGGTTTCACTGTTGTTTTGACCCAGCACCCATAGCTTTGTTCTTCTGAATTGACATCAGATATAGTTACAAAGAGCGGTGTGTTCCATGATGTTCCGTGTAGATGTTTGTAGATGTTTGTGGATGTTATGCTTGTAGCACCTTATTTCACATACAATGAAGCATGGGTCCAGATACTCATTGAATCGCATTGTCGATATATCCGATAAGAGCTCCTGCATCTAGGTCCCGGCTCTTCGTGACACAGCGCATTTTCGACAAAGCTAGAGGTGCAGCTGTCGTGGCCGTCATGACCGTCATGGCCCATCAGCCTCATGACCGCTGCTGTTTACAGCTATCCGCTATCCAAGCCTCAACTGACTATAGAGGAGTAGTGTTGCAGCCATGCAATATCAAGCAATCTTTTAGGCTTGTGATATTATGGTGTGAACCTTTGTCTTGTGGTCGGAAACCCGTATCAGGATGATTCAGGATATTTCAGGATGCCGGTGTAAGAGTAGTAGGTGGCAAGCTGTACGGCAATATGAGTAAGCTTGTTCGGGCTCAGTATGCTAGGTTGTGATGTCAGTGTGACAATTGCACTTGCACTAGTAGCATCAACATCATCAAGTCATGACTCAACCGTAACTTGTTTATTTGAGTGAAATTGTCTTATTAAATTTCTTTAAGTGATCAGAATTGAAGCTGTTGGAACAAGTGTGAACCAAAGATGATGATGTCGCTTGCTTTGATTTTAGGTTTCGTCTCTGAGAGACAGCATGTCTACGACAATCAGAGAAGGAAACCACCCGTGGAAATTGAAACAATCTGCAGGTGGCATCACAAGTGCGTTGAAGCAGATAGCCGAAAACAAGAAGGAAGACGGCAAACCGTGCTGGGAATCTAGAAGTGAAGAGTCCGAGCATGTCCCGGATGGAATATCAAAATTGCTTCAGTGGAATACTTCCATCAGCAAGGCGCATGTTTTCAACAGTTTGCTGTGGTATTTTGCGGCAATCAAACTCTACCCGCTTCTTCCGTGTGATGGGTTATCGACGGGCCCTTCTTATGTATGGTGCCAGTTTGCAAAGCGAAAAACGGAAGGATTTCCCATCGCAGTTGGAGGCATCAGACTCCCAGCTCTCCCAGGATTTGTTGAAGCCTGTGTCAGATGCGAATAAAGCAGCCTTCGAGGCGGGATCCATTGCTGCAGGATGCTGCAGAGGGTGAAACTGGTCATGCTGAGCTTGGCCGCAAGCACTGCACGCTTCTCACTTCTCACCACTAGATCAAGAACGTGCTTTATGTTTATACCGATACAGTACCTTCTTTCAGCTAGGGCTAGGGCATGAAGGATATTCAGGGCATTAAGGAAATTCAGTGTATTCAGTGTGATTCACACCCTTCATCGAAAGGAGAAGCTGACCCAGCTTGGCGGCACTTTGGACAAGATCTTAGAGGCCTTGGAGTTTGAAGATGTTTGAAGTGACTTGGGGTCCGGTTCGACCTTCCATAATTCAGTGTTGTTCGGTGAATTTAAGGATTTGGAACAACCAATTTCATCCAATTTCTTTGAGCCAGTTAAAACATGTTAAAACATCCAGTATACAATAGTATACATAGGTATTCCCATGCAAGTCTTACCCATTATATAATTAGGAATTACTGACAAACTTAAGCTTTGTTTTGGGCAACCTTGTTTTCGATTGATTTTGTCAATACCCTCTACTAGCTCTACTGCACTACCTGAAAAACTTCAGCTCTATATAGAATCTCATGACCACTTTTCAAATGCCAGAGCGTGAAAAGACCTTGAAATTATCGTTAAAATATGTTAAAATGAGGTGGGACGACAGCGAACAGCTTGGTAAATACAATGAAACACTTGGGCACTTTCTTGTCCTGAAATTTCCTTCAATTTGTCAGAATGAGGGCCGTTCTAGTGTTGCTTGGAATGGTCAAATGCGAACAATCTAAAAACAGGTCGGCCACGTGCCTTGAAATGTTGTTCACCCCTCCTTCCGTGGCACGAAGCACACAACCATACGTGGATTCTACGTGGATGACAGTTTCATAATCCACGGGCGCCACATCAAGAAGCAAAGTGATAGACATGATCGAAGGGTCGTGATGTTGATTTGGTTGTGTGTGTGTGTTTTACCTGCACATTGAGCTCATGTCTTCAAGATGTGTGCTGGAAAAAAGTTTGAGGGTTCCAGAAATCAAATTTGGGTTTCGTTTTTGGGCGTCATCTTCTGCCACAATCTGTTTTCACGTCCCGAGGCACTCTAGTGCCGCCACCACCAACAATTGAGCCACCACACAAACTCCGGCAATAGGAAACATGTGCGGAAGGCACGGATATTAGTTTAATTTCAGATTTGTTCAGAAATTGTGGCAGGAGGTAAGTTGGAACCTTCCTAAATAGCGATACCCTCATACTTGTGCACATACATCATTTTGCTTTAAGAGAAACCCCCCAATTTTATCCAATTTTTGCCATACCTCATTTTGGCGCAAACGTGTGTCAAGCAATGGGACATTGCCAATTTAATTTGATGTCCTTTTCCCAAGTCTTATCACGACATGTGGTGTAATACTTGATATCTTCTTCTGCGTATGTATGCAACATGCTGCGCTAAGTATGCATGTGATAAACCCTAAGTAAAGCCTAGCAGGCCTAGCATCAAGTGAGTATGCAACTTCATCCGAACTTTATCAGCACAACCCTGTCCCGTTCCAACCCCACATTTAGGGTAGCAGCAAGTGAGCATGCAGCCTCACATGAACTTTGTTAACCCCACCCCAACCAAACATATATGTGTAGCATAGCGTCAAGTGAGTGCAACTCGACATGAACGGTTCTAGCCCCAGCCTGCGGCTCCAACGCCTATAGCATCCTATAGCAGCTTAGAATGAATCCACCGAATCTCTTTCTTTGGCAATTGGGCAGGAAATTGGCGGAGCGGAGTATGGAGGCACAGGAACTCCTTATCAGGCAGGTTGCGACTGCGTTGAGTGCAAGGTGTGCAAGCACTCTACCGATACCTGTGGTGCGTGTTCTTCAGGTTGTAGTAGCTGTAGAATCAAGAGGTAACAACACGGTGACACTTTTGCGGACATAGTAATCAGTGCTGCCAGGCCGACATGGTTGAAAAGTGCTTGAAGAGCGCTAGTCTCAGGATACAGTCAGCACACAACGTGTGTGTGGGTGTGGGTGTGGGTGTGTGTGTGTGTGTGAATCCTGCTATCACATGCAGGCACAAACTCATATACATACGTACTTTAACCCTTGAAGTGAAAGCAGAGCAGGGTTTTTTTCAAATTTGGCCACGGCTCCATTCATCAGTCCGTGGCCAACGAAGCTACTGATGTTTGGAGAGGATATGCAGTCTGATCAACTGCACGTACCTGCGAATCGAACTGTTGATTTCTGTTCCTCTATGACGCTGTTTGCTTTAAGAAAGAATTTCACATTTCGTACTGTCTCCTCTATTACTTGCACTAGCAGTTTTTGATTTTCTGAGCTCGTTCGGGAGCCTTCATGTATTGCGCTGACATGGCATCGAGCTTGTTCGGGAGCCTTCATGTATTGCGCTGGCATGGCACTGAGCTCATTTGGGAACCTTCATGTGTTGCGCTGGCATGGCACCGAGCTGATTGGGGATCTTTCATGTTGCATTGGCGTGGCACTGAGCTATAGTTTGGAAATTTTCATATAGCGTACTTGCATAGCATTGAGCTGATTCGGGAGCCTTCATGTGTTACATCGGCATGGCACTGAGCCATACTTTAACAATTTTTTTATGTATTGTACTTGCATGGCATCGAGCTGATTCGGGAGTCTTCATGTGTTGCATCGGCATGGCATTGTGCTATAATCTTTAGCGGTTTTTTATGCATTGTGCTAGCATAGTACCGAGCTAGTTTGGAAGCTCTCCTGTGTTACAGCGGTTTGGTAGAGCAGGGTGCAATTTCTATCAGCAGTGTTGGCCAGGTTTCTAAGGAATTCAAGGCGAGAACGAGATCATTCACATGACGGTCCATTTCAAACCCAATTCAGCAGTGTGTACTGGGTGCACGGCAGATTATGCCGACACCATCGCAGGGATTCGTCCCAGCTCAACGATTTTCTCGCGACACATTAGCGTGTCGTGTAGGATGACTGTCATGTAGATGACAGTAGAAGGAGCCCAAATGGGCGAAGAACAGCCTAGCGGCACTCAAAAGGACGCCTAGCGGTAAAGGACGCCTAGCGGTGAAGGAGCCTTAAGGCGAAGACTAACTGATACATGGATGTTGCGGCACTCAGTCCACCATGCAAAGACTTGGTTGTTGTATGTGTGTGCATGTGTGTGTCAGTGTGTGTTCCTTTGGTCTAAATAACCAAACCGGTGCTTCTCTTTGCATTATATCATTCCGTGGGAAGTTCGGAATTTGAATTCTGCATGCTTGTGTGAGGCATCAAGCTTGGGTATTCGATAAATCGTGCATGTATGACTGTATGACCTTCATGATAACGCATGTGCAGAACATGATGGGCTGTTCCGAGAAATTTCTGAATTTTTTTATGTGTACCTTGATGCGCGCAAAAATGTTTTGTATCACTTGATATTTGCAATTTGTTACTATGTGTTAATTTGTTATTATGTGTTACTTGATGCTGGCAAACCACTGTTTCTATAACTGCTATAGCCATGCCGTCAAAAAGTGCTGGGGGTCCGCCTCCTCAATATGATGGTCAACGACAACGCGGTCCTTTCACGATGTCTTGGTTACCACCATTGCCTCCACCACCTGCGCAGGTTCAACCCCAGGTTCATGTGAGTCCCATAGTCAATTCACCACCTAGACCAATAGCGAGTTTGAGTGTGCGGGGACAGCTGGGTGAATACCGGCTTGAAGTCTTGGACGCACAGGGTCTTCAACAACTTACTCAGATGATGGATCGTCTAAGTCAAGTGGAAGCACAACTCGCTTTGACCCAGATAGCTCAAACGGCATATCAACCTATTTTTCCCTCTGTGATGCCCGTTCCCAACCTCATGATGCCCGAAATGTTAGCCCCTTTCACAGTGGCAGAACCTAACAAAGTTGGAAGTGCTTCTCAATCGGTCGCAAGAGGGAGTGGCCATGATGCAGTCTTAACCTCAGAAGGTGTTGGAACCGCAGCTGCCTCAGATTTGAACTCGTCTTCGCCTCAAAGCCAGCCTGCCAAGTATAAACCTCGTTTACATGGTGCAAGAGTTCAGACACATGATTTCCATGGAAAGATCAAATACACTGAATACACAACGATTCAAAGACTGACGGACATGACGGTGCATGATTTTCGCTGGAAAGACAGCACAGAACGAGTCTTGGAAGTTGGACACCCATTGTGTCGACAGTGTTTTGTTACACCAATACTTGCTGGCTTCTTCTGTGATGCCCTTCAGCCTCTGACCCGCGGAAATTTTCAGCAGTGCGTATGGGAAGAAGTATCTTATTTACTCAATGAACGGTTACATGCAGACTTGTTTCAAGTTTCTGAGAGACTTGCGAATGCTTTGGAACTTGGTCGGGTATAGTGGAAACGTCACAGAAGTACGCCCCAAATCCAGAATATTATACTCGCAAGCGGCGGTTTATATTGGAACCGGAGATTACCATCCAGGCTACGCCTTTTGGGGACTTCTTGGCAGATCAAATTCGTTCAACCTTTCCTGGTGACTTTCATACTCTCAAGGAGGCATGTTTTGTGCTTAGCAAAACGATGAATTCTTTTCCAACTTTGATTGAGAAGTTTCAGAAAGCAGAATTTATTCAGCTTTCACATTCAGCGGACTCACGACCACAAAGTTCAAAGGGGCTGTGATTCTCCATTTGGACATTCCTACCTTCAAGACAGTTGGTGATGCTCCTCAATTTCCCTCTGTTTTTACCTTTGCACACAATAGTAGTATTTTGACTGCCTGTGCCATTCTACGGGACGGGTATATTCGACCTTCAGCTGCTGCCGAACATGAATCAAGCTCAATGGTTGCCAGTTCCTGTTTTCTATTCCTGGGGGAGCATGAGTAACAGTGACCGTGAAGAAGATGTCAAACGATCACTGAAAGAAACATTCCGACCACATTTCTCAGACGCAACTCGCCCCACCAGTATTTTTGGATTTGCATATTCGCGACAGCACCAGCACTGCACCATACATGCGGGAGGCGTTTGTGCGGATCATGCCGCAAGTCTCTTTTGGGATGCTTGTCATAATGCTTCTGATCGGCGCTGGATTTTCAGATCCCAGTTAGCGCAAGTCAAGGGCATAGCCGTGTATATTTAGATATGTTTAGATTAATTTGTGAGCGCAGCGCCAAAATGATATATTCACCATGTGCCCTTGCATTTCTGTTGCGATGTTGTGAGCGGAAGATGTGGCTGTCATATCAACAGTACAGAGTGATAGAGCCGTTCGCGGTGATTATGTTATCAGTGAGTGTGAAACAGGAATGGCAAATTGAATCAATTTGATGTTTGTTTGGCGATTAACTTCTTGAAGTGATGTTCACAGTTTGATCCCCTCGCAAAATCTGGGTATTCAATTTTAGCTTTGTCGTTTTGATTCACTTTTAGCTTTGTCGTTTTGATTTCTCATTTCCAGCTACCAAAAGTGGCGAGTATAGTGTTATACCAATAGGTGAGATGTTGTGACAAATTGGACATACTTTTCACTCACATGCACTTTTGTTGTCAAGCCCTTAGAGTGACAGTGTGGGTAGCGATCTCAGTCCGCAGTTCGTCTTAGCCTTAGTGCAGTGTTACCTCTGGGCTTTTGGCTCGGATGAGATTGATCGTTCAGCATTCACAACCTGCACACGTCTGTTGGGCGCAACTTCAAGATATTTTGCATTACATTTACATGTTGATCCAGAATATTTCCGATGTATCGATGAGGCGCTGCAACTTTGCAGAATACGTTTTCCACACATGACCAAAAACCAGCTGCTTCAGTACGCCTAGATTGGTAACGAGGATGAAACCAGGGCTGACATTGCGCATGTACAAGATGTCGGATTGATACTCTTTCCTTCCTCCGTTGACATTGGTGCTTCTTCTTCATGATCATAAATTTCCCTGACAAGAGCATGTACATGACAGACTGCACCTGAAGCATCAGAATTGCACAGTTGAAATTGCACCAAACATGTTGTGACCATTTGGTTTCAGCTTGAGCTTGGCACTTCAAATAAGTAAAGACATGATTCCGCTTAGAACTTCAAAACTCCAAAAGTTGCTTGTTTCGTCCTACTTAATGGCCCTATCGGGCCCAGTGTGTGTGTGAATCCTGCTATCACATGCAGGCACAAACTCATATACATACGTACTTTAACCCTTGAAGTGAAAGCAGAGCAGGGTTTTTTTCAAATTTGGCCACGGCTCCATTCATCAGTCCGTGGCCAACGAAGCTACTGATGTTTGGAGAGGATATGCAGTCTGATCAACTGCACGTACCTGCGAATCGAACTGTTGATTTCTGTTCCTCTATGACGCTGTTTGCTTTAAGAAAGAATTTCACATTTCGTACTGTCTCCTCTATTACTTGCACTAGCAGTTTTTGATTTTCTGAGCTCGTTCGGGAGCCTTCATGTATTGCGCTGACATGGCATCGAGCTTGTTCGGGAGCCTTCATGTATTGCGCTGGCATGGCACTGAGCTCATTTGGGAACCTTCATGTGTTGCGCTGGCATGGCACCGAGCTGATTGGGGATCTTTCATGTTGCATTGGCGTGGCACTGAGCTATAGTTTGGAAATTTTCATATAGTGTACTTGCATAGCATTGAGCTGATTCGGGAGCCTTCATGTGTTACATCGGCATGGCACTGAGCCATACTTTAACAATTTTTTTTATGTATTGTACTTGCATGGCATCGAGCTGATTCGGGAATCTTTAGCGGTTTTTTATGCATTGTGCTAGCATAGTACCGAGCTAGTTTGGAAGCTCTCCTGTGTTACAGCGGTTTGGTAGAGTAGGGTGCAATTTCTATCAGCAGTGTTGGCCAGGTTTCTAAGGAATTCAAGGCGAGAACGAGATCATTCACATGACGGTCCATTTCAAACCCAATTCAGCAGTGTGTGTGTGTGGGCCCGGGTATCTAATATTAGTGGTGTAGGTTTGTACTGCAACATGGCCAGAGGCGGCTTGGCTTTTGTTTTGTGCGCAGTTGGCCTTGGACCATATCTGAGAGACAGAATGTCTCGTGATGTCATGGAATTTATATTTATGTTTAATTATTTCTTTTGGCACTTTGCGTGCGCATGTCGCATTGAGCGAAAGGTTTCGACACAGCACAGGAAACAGTTGGCAAAGCGGAGGAGCGATGGGCTGGGCTTGTTTCTAGATGCTTTCATTCCTCATTTCAGAAAACAGTTGAGGGGTAGAGATGGAAATGTCATGGCTCAAGAAATACGAATCATTATATGCTACTCTGTTAGTATCGATCAGAAATGAATTTGGTGAATGTTTCAGGCTTCACAAGATGTCACAGGATGGCACGTTTCTTGAGGTTAATCCGGTTAATCTGCCAAGCCTTAGGAGTTTCTGCTTCCCGACAACTTTGCTGCAAAGGTGGGCTTTGGGTTTTGGTTCTGCGGACCACCTTCCAGCAATCCTGAGGCAGCTTTCACATGCTTTCACAATTCAATATACACTAATGATATTTTCGATTCTTTGAGTAAAAAGGCAGATACAAACATTGGACAAAACGCCTTCATTGCTTTCATTGACTTTGCAAGAGATGCGAGAGGGCAGAAAAGGGTATTACTGTAAAAAAAATATTTAATGTAGATTTGCCCCGGCATATACCAACATTATCCAACAATTGCAATAATGGATTTGACTATGCATGGGAAAAATGGCCACGTTTGGCGTTTCTGTGGCCAGCATTTGATGGCTCCATAGAAATACACACGGGCATCGTTTCTTCTTGGTGAGTGGCCGTCCATGGGATTTTGTTCGTGCCTGGTTAGCATTTGGAATGACCAACCCCTCCTCATCCCTCGTCCTGACACAGCAACCAACTTAATTGCAACGTGCTGCCGATGCGATTTGGATCCAACAGCTTTCGATGAATGGCCACTACAGGATAATTAATGGATAATTAATGGATAATTAATGGTATTTCCTCCGCAGTGAACGTTCATGGCATCATTTCCCGTCGGCCAACTGTTAGAAGCTTTGACAGAACTATGGTCTCCGTGCATGCCTAGTGCTTTTTGAATCATGCCTAAGACGTCCATCGGCGTCCTATGACCTTCAGTTCTGATCAGTTCTGTGTTTTCGTCTTTGGCTGACTTCCGGTGCCAAAGGTTCGCCAAGGGTCGAGACGATGAGTCAGTCCCATGCCCGGATGGCTTGAAATTTGTTGGTGGTTTCTGCGGAGGACTGCGGCAACTCGGCTAAAAATCCAATGAATTCTATGTGAAAGCAGTGTTGTTGTATTTGTGATGTTGAAACATGCAACTAGGTCACGGCTTGCGCCTGAAGAGTTTGAAGGCAACAGCCATACTTGTTGTTGCAGTTGTGGCATCAGCAATCAGCGGTGCCTCTTTCCCAGAAACAGATATCACCAACCTGTTAAAGCCGTGTAGACACGAAGCCTGTTTTGTACGCATCGGTATTTTGAAATACAGCTGCCTCTTGTTTCAATTATTGCCTTTCTCTTCATGCACTTCATGGAATTCAGGCAGGGGATGCACTTGAGCATAATGCCAAGGCGTGACTATGTCAAGCGATTCAATGCGGCGTACCTGAAGTCAGATTGGTTTTCAGATGCCATCTCGGCCAAAACCTTGTCAGGCAAAAGTGTTTTTGTGTCCTGCTTTTGCCAGCCATTCATTACAGTGTCACCATGTGTCACCTCAAAAACGGGAAATTTTGGTTTTGCTGACGGGGAGTGGAGATGCTTGCAGATGTTGGTAAGCCTTTCTACCTGTACTACAGTAGATTAATTTCAATGCACTGGTTGACTGGCAGCTTTGGGAAAACGAGTCCGATGTTGAACTGACCACATTCCGACATTCCTACGCCGAGTTATGATTTTTCCACTCAAACTGTACAGATAGTTTTCTGCTGTTTATATATAATGCTGCTATGCAGTCGTGCGATGGGCGTTGCTTAAGACTATTGACATCTATTGACTATAAGGGTGCCGTATCTCTTTTTTGCTACCTTCTCACCTTCTTTACATTCCTTGCTGGTGACAAAGTTGCTGTGCGCATGACATATGATAGCAGAACTCCATGATCGATAATGAACAATGTTCGCAGGTGCACTCTTTTTGTTCTTCGCTACATTTACCTCGACAATTGCTCTTGGAAAGCACATAAATGATGTGACACACGGTGTGACTCGGCGAGACCAACCGAAGAGTTTGATGAAGAAAGACATAGACAGATTTTGATGATTTTGATATATCATATGTATATATATATATATTTATTTATTTATTTATGTATTTATTTCCACTACGCTGGTATGTTCATTGCAATTGGTCTCTATGTGTTCGTTCTCATCTCTCAAGACACATGAGAAGGGGCATCCGGAGTAGCTCAGACCTGCCAACTGAAGCCAAAACCAACCTGTTATTTTTCCGCCCCCCTTGCGGCAAGCAAGGTGATTGGCATCAATGAATACTTGATCATGAACAGCTTTTCAGGGATGTTGCACTCAGTGATTGGCACACAGCCGCTCCTGGTGCTGCGACCTACAGGGCCCATAACCTTGCTGTTGGAGAAACTTCATGAAACGACCCCTGGCAGAAAATAACCATAGCCATAGCCCATAGCCCTTTCTTTTCAGCACAGAATGCCATGTCTTCAAGAGTTCAAGGTGGTTTGGTCGCATGAACAGCTCACCATGGTTGACCAGAAGTGCATGCCATTTTTGCCGGTGACTCCTCCAGGAGTGAATGGCTTTCTCTTCCATTTTGGCCCTTGCTGGCGTGGACAGGAATCTTTGTTGGTTTGAGGCTCAGTTGTTGGGGCTCTCCACAACGAACGCCCCAGCTGCTGAAACCTCTGTACCAGTCGCATCGCACTATTTTTGAGCTATGCATGTGCGAGATGTAGGCCACCTACAGGTCCATGATTGTCACGTATTGTCACATTTTTGTTTTGGTTTCACATGTGTTCCAGAAATTTCCAGAATTTGTGAGCAAGCAGGCAGGTTGGTAGGCCTGATCATTTCAGTATATCACACATGCACACTATTACAAACTATCACGCACTCATATTATGTTTGTTGAAATATGTTTGATCTAGAATTATGAATACGCAATATATATATATATACACATAATCATAATATTACTAATTAAAGGTGTGTAAATATATATATATAATTATATATATATATATTAGTGAGTTATGTGATATGTCACAGTAGATTTATTGAAACCTAGTCCCTGATGTGATGGCTTCCTGGCCAGCTGGTCAACCGACCAAAATCCACTTCCCCAACTGCAGGGCCAACAAAATCCAAAGGTATTCCAAAGGTATTTCCGATTGCCAAGGCTTCTACATGTTCCTCGTAGCTGCTTTCGAGTTGAGTGTGTACATCAAGTACGCTGCTTGCCATAACTCAGACTTAAGTTGTTCTCTGCTGGTGTCATCGTCAGTCCCAAACTCCCGCCGATCCTGCAAGAATTTTCCCTCAACATGTCCATTGTAGAAATCCATATTGAATGTCAGCCTCATTGTCCTGCCGAACTTGGCATTGTTTTGCTCTCTCTCTCTCTCTGTCTTTGTTTGGCAAGTGATTCGAAATTTTGTGACATCACTCCTCCGAGGTCACCTCATTTACGGAGAACATTTTTGCAATGTTCATCGGAACAGTCCCGTGGCAAATCCATTTTCTCAAGACATCCGCACCAGCTGAACTCAGCTGGGTGTCTTCTGAGTGGCTTGCAGGTAGCCAGATCAAAGGCTACAGACTGGCTACAGATGGTAGATGATGGTAGAGTGGATTTCAAGTGACGTGTGGCTTGGCCGAGGAAGTTTCCAATTCACAGCGGAATATCAAGATCATGATGATCATCAAGCAACTAAGGTCTACATCAATGATGGGATCCAAGGTATGATCCGGCTTTGGGGCACTGAGACTGCCAATCTTGAAGCCAGAAAGCCTTTCTCCATTTGCATAGCCTCAAGGTTTTACAATTATTCTTCCAGTTTTCCCTGGCCTTCCCTTCCACAAACATTTTCTGAACTCTTTCGGAAAAGGATGGAAAAGGATAGAAGAGGGGTGTTCCCAAGTTTGAGACAGTGTCCTGGAATGTCAGCAGAGGCTCATGGTCGTGAACTTGACCGTTGGATGTACCTTGCTGGCGCTCTATTTGAGCAACATTGGCAATACGGCCTGGGGAACCTATTGTATCAGACGGCTGCTGGGAGATTATGCAGCATGGCTTGGGAGCTTTTGGTCCAGTTGGTATTTTTCGTTGCCTTGTTTTCTTCGTGGGTGGAAGCTGAATGATTGTCATGCTCTAGCGCGTGCCGAGTCAGCTTTGAAGCTAAGGCATTGACGATTTCAATCTTTATTTTGGCCATTGTCGCAGCAATCCTCGATGCAAACTTTTTTTCGGTGAACTTTATTGCCAGTGAAAGCCTAGGCAGGGCAGAGCAAGACGCAGAATCGGCATAGTGGTTTTAGCCGTTGCCCAAGCGTGGCTATCAGTGCTGCAAACCATTTTTGAAGCTAATCCGGCCAATGCCCTGGGGGAGGAAAAGAAACCGTTTGTCACTTTGTCCTGCCAGGATTTTCCACCACTGAAGTTCGGCCTTGGACCACAGACTTGACCAACATTCCTCCAGAAGGCATTCTGGCAGGTGCAGTGGCGGCAATCCCCATCGTGCTGTTCTTCTACCTGGATCAGAACATTTCCAGCATTATGTGCCAGAAGCCTGACATGTGCATCAAGAAGGGCGCCTACTTCCATTCTTCGTTTGCTTGTATGGCCCTCTTCAACTTGCTTGGCCCTATTTGGGGGCTGCCCTTTGTGACAGGCTCTTTGCCGCACTCACCTCAGTTTGTTCACGCCATGACACAAGTGGACAAGAATCACAAGCCCATTGGCGTTGTCGAAAATCGAGTTGCTCCTTTCATTGGCTACGGGTTTCTTGGCAGCTCAAACATTAATCGATTTTCAAACTTTTTTTCCCTTCCATCATATCTTGCTGCGTAACTAAAATACACAATGATACACAATGTGTAATTAGTTTTGTTACCCCTCCGTCAACGCAATGAACAACACCCTGCTTGCTCTGCCAAGTGAATCCGCAAGGCTCATGGCTGTCGCTTTACTGTTCCCTGGGCTGATGAGCTTGCAGCTTTGGTTGAAATTGGACAGCAATTTTTGCTGAGAATGTGTTTTTGATTGTTTCCGGGCAAGCCATAGATTGCCGATGATTGCCAAGTCTATCCAGTTTTCTTTTCTGAGTTCCACGGTGTATACTGATTGGTCTGGTACTTTGTCATTAAATCTCTATATCACACAAAACCGAGTCTCTCTTCTGCAAACTCGTGACAACTTGAAAGACACGTAGACCATGCGCTCTTTTCTTCAAGGCTTTGTTTGCGGACTCCGTACCTATTTTGCCCATTTCTGCACCTAGGCTTCCCGAAACCGCTGTTTTTGGTGCTCTGATCTTCGTGGGGCTGAAGGCTGCTCTGGGAACTCAACTTTGGGAGCCATGGCAAGCGCAGCCTTGGCAGCTGGCACTGGTTGGTCAGAGGTATCGGAACATGTCAAAAGACAAGAGGCCAGATTGAACTGGTTCAACTTACTATTTAATTAGATTTAATTACAGTAGTATTTGTATTGATGTTGGATACTGATTAGTGTAGGGGGCCCCCCTCAACAATTTTGAGGATAGTCAACTTAAGTAAGGATTTCAATTTTCAATTGACATCAATCTACTTTTGATTGGTTTTCCTTTTAAATGAAAAAAAACACATGGCCCCAAAAGTTCTTGAGCACAATAGGGTACCATCGAAACAATTACATTATTGGGGATCTCGGTCACTCATGGGGTACCCCCTTGAAAATATGTTTGGGTGCTGTTTTTTTAATAAGGGTTTAATAAGACATCTAATTATTTGGGAAACCTTGCATTTTCAAGGCTTTAACATGGCTTTCTAAACGGACCAGCTTTACCCAAAGAAAGGTGGATGAAAGGTTTTGTGATGTTTTGTGTTTTTTTCACCCCAAAAGTTTTTGTGCACAATAGGGTACGATCGAAACAATTACATTATTGACGATCTGGGTCACTCATGGGGCCCCCTTGAAAATGTGTTTGGGTGCTGTTTTTTACCCGTAGTACCGCGCAAGGCGGTGGCAGAAGTTTCAAGAATAGGAAAACCTATAGGAGAGGTGGGTTGTTGTGAATCACGGATGGCAAAGCAAATCCACTGATGGACTGAAAGGTGATTGGAACGTCGAGCTATTTATCTATTCATCTATCTTTCTATCTATCCATCCATCCATTTGCCTGTCTATCTGCTTATCTGTCTATTCATGTCTTTATCCATCTATCTATCCTTCTAGTTGTCTGTCTACTTATTTATCCTTCTATCTACCTATCCATCTATCTGTCTTGCCATCTATCTGCGAGATTTCCTCAATTTTCGAAGTTGGCAACGTCAAAAACAAAACAATTTTGCGAGATTTCCTTCAACAATGGAAAATTGCAGAGCTGACGGCCTCGTGCCAATGCGTTTTGCGATTTTTCCACTCCATCTGTGTAAAGTGCTGCGCCTGCCACGCACAAGTGATGCCAGGTCATACGAAGTGCTGCACCTGCCACGCAAAATCATCTTCCCAAAACTGAAGATCTGATACTCGAAAATGCAACCTCTCGCAGGAAATCAGCGCCCTGACCTCTTAACATCCCTGATAAACATGTCTCGTGTACTGCGCCTGCCACGTGAATTGCATCTTTGCAGATCCTCTGCAAATGTCCCGGAAATTCTACAAAATTCTCACGTTTTGCTAATTTTTGGGCAAGGTGCAGAATCCCCTGCGCCGGCGCCTGCCACGGAAAACCACATCTGAACCTTCAAAAAGTGGTCCGATGATTGGGTGCTCTTAACATTGTGACTTCAAAAAATGCGCTTCGCGCTACAACGGCGTGCACTTTTTCGACATCTCAACTTCCAAAAGTGGCCCGGACCTGGTGTGTTTTGTACATTTTGACTTCGAAATGTGCTTCGCGCCACAACGGCACGCATTTTTTTCGACATCTCAACTTCCAAAAGTGCTCCGGACCCGTCAGTTTTTCACACTTTTGAATTCCGAATGTGCTTCGCACCACAACGGCGTGCACTTTTTCGACATCTCAACTTCCAAAAGTGGTCCGACGCTGGTGTGTTTTGTGCAATTTGACTTGGAAATCTGCTTCGTGCCACACCGGCGTGCAACTTTAATCTTTCATCTGACCACATGGCTCCGCACCCACCGCTTTAGCGAGCCAACTTTTCGACCCTCCGGAGCCACGAATCATTTTGCTACCTTTTCGCGCCCCTGCATCTTCTGTCTTCTGACTCTTTTTCTTCCCTGGTGTTCTTTCGTCGTTTCTTCTCTTCTCTGACTCTTCCCACCTCTGCTTTTCATCTGTCCACGTTCTCGGAAATTTGACTTCTAAATTTCCTTCGAATAAGGGCTTAATAAGGCATCTAATTATTTGGGAAACTTTGCATTTTCAAGGCTTTAACATGGATATGTTTTTCTAAAGTAAATGGACCAGAATTAAGTTATTTTCAGAATGCCAGGAGATGCCCAATAATTTTTGGAAACTGCTTCACAATAGAGTCTCATGACACTAATCGATATTTCATGGTCATTCATTATCGGTTACAAATTAATTTGCTGTATAAATAAAATTTATTGGCAAAAATCAGTTTTGGATCTTCACCCCCTAGATAATTAATAGATAAATATAATTATATACTAGGTATTAGCCGTTCATATTGCAAATGCAGAGCATGTCATGCAAATTCAAACACGTTGCACATGATTATATTTATTCATATTGTCATATATTATTGTTTATCGTTGCGTGTGAGTGCGAGTGAGTGTGTGTGTGTGTGTGCGCCTGCCTGCCTGAAGAGAGAAAGGCTGACTTGTACTCACAATGACATTTTGCGGCCGCCTTACGCGAGACCGATGCAGGGTATCTGTGGGTGACCAAGGAACGCATCTTGCTGTTCTTCACTGATCCAGAGGAACCAATGCGTGGAGGATGGGCACCTGTGTAGATCCCGTAGATCCCAAGTCTGAGAGGTAAAATGAAAGCACAGTCTTGCCTTCCCAATACATACAGTGGGTCCAAGTGATGCCAGCTTGCTGTTTGCTGTTTGGAACTCATCGATTTTTCCTTTCAGATCTTTCAGAGGCCAGTTGTTGTTGCAACCTCCTTTGCAGGCTACAGCCACCTCTCGCGGAAGACCGTTCTCCTATTCACCGCAATTCAGATTCTGCTGGTTGTTGGGTGTTGGATTTGCAACACGGCAGAGCTCACAGTTCAGCAATCCTTTGTTTTCCTTGGTTTTGTGGGGATGTTGACTGGCAGTCCCTCGCGGTTTTGATCTACTGATTTGTTTGGTTCAGTCCTGGCAGTTGCAGTGATCCTCAATCACTGGCGCCCTCTAGCTACAGGTAATATCTATATTGGCCTCGGCTTTCCGATTTTCGCCGACTTCTGAGTCTTTGATGTGGGACTTTCTGGATCATGAGCATAATCTCATGATGTTTGAATTTAAGGATATTTGAGGATATTTGAGGATGTTTGAGGATGTTTGAGGATGTTTGAGGATGCTTGAGGATGTTTGAGGATATGTGATGCTTTGATGCCTGCATGGAGACTGATCCAGGCCGCCCAGCTTCGCTTTCGTCTTGTTGCCAAGGTCGTAAGCCTGGTACCCATCCGCTTCAAGATCCTGCCATGCATTTTCTCACATGAAGATATCGATGCCCTCCTGGCAGAGGATCCAGTGCCTGAGTAGAATCACATGTCATTACAACATGTTGCAACCTGTTACCATATACAACATGATACAACAACAAATACTATACAACATGATACAACACTAATTATACAACCATACATTGTGATTTTCAGCAGTGCTGGGGAATAGAATTTTGCTGTCACTTAGCTGCTAGCTGCATGCAAAATTAGGCATGTGAAGTGGATGTGCCAGAAGAAAACGAGCCAGAGGCAGAAGATGCGGAGATGCTTGGCTATACTTCATACAATTGAAATGTCGATGCAAATTTCATGAGAATGTGGAATCTATGGCGGCGAATTTGATAGCGATCAAACCAAATAGCGCAAATAGCCACGCACTTAGCTGAGCATGGGGCCGATGCCGGGCGACCAATGGCGCATTTGATGCCTAAGGAAAGCACATGTCCAAGGAGACCTTGAAATCTGAAGTGCTTGATGCGAAGCGGCCGCTGCAGGGTTTCGCATGTACCCTCAGCAGCGCGTGGTTGGACAATATTGCGAGATGATAGCAGAAGACAAAGATGCCAAGCTGCTATAAACTGCTTCAAAACTTTCATTGTATAGATTTGCAACGTATGTCTTGCCCGCGTTCGAGTCGTTGGCTGTGCCTGTCGACCCAAACGGAGTGGCAGGATGTCATTTTTTTGAACTAGCTATTTCCAGAGGGAGCAAAACCTTGCTCCTCAAAATGAATCCCATTTGGCTTCCTGGTGAAACCCTCCGCCCTAAACTTCAGATTTTGAAACACAGTGTTTGCTTGTACTTGCATTTGTTTCGAACCCAAGCCATGGAAGCTAAAACCGCATAAGACATCATCAAACAACCTCATGGGAGGTGCCCACAGAAAGTCCTTGGGATATTTTGCATACCGAGGTCACATGAGATCACAACTGGCAGGGTAAACCTGTTTCTCGGTTTCTCGGTTTTGGCCTTCCTTTTTGCCATTTTTTGCCACCAGGTCGAGGCAGCATCACGTGGTGTTGGGCAGAGACCTGTTTTGCTGTACAGCAAACTTGTGGGTGAGTTTGCAAAGCATGCCACAAACGTGAGAAAGAGATAGAAAGAGTCTTGGTGCTTTTTTGCTAAGAAATAGATTCAAATAGATAGAGAGAGAGAGTTTGCGGTGTGTGTTTTTTAGCAGTTGTAGCTGGGAGACTGCAAAATTGCTCAACATTGCTCAACCAACTGCCAAGCGCTTGGCAGACCACCCGCAAGAGCAACCCACCATGTTGAGCTGTGTAGTGGGCTGTGTTTTGTGGCCAATACGCTCAGAATCAGAAAGTTCAGTGCTCAGTCAAACTGTGCCTGAAACAAGCTGATCTTCCGTAGTGTATATCTTCCGTAGTGTCAACTGCTCAAAGCAGACAAATTCGGGAAGAATTTTTGCCATTATCTAGTCGCTGAGGATATGAATCGCGAAGCTTGCCACAGCGGCAGCAGTGATTCGGTCTTTTGTGGCCCAACTTGGAACAACTATTCTTTCTCAAACATGTTGACTCTGTTGCAGAAGAAGCCTTTTGGAGAAAATAGGACCCAGCGGATGAATGGATGGTACCCATGGCCCAGAGCGTTGCGTGGACAGAGCAAGCTTCGTCGCTCAGGATGCTCTCCTGGGTTTGCCCCAGTTTTCCATGGCATGTTTCATTCCTACATAGTCCTACCATCAAACGAATCACAGTGCAGCAGGTGCCGGCGGAATATGCCAATCTGCCCCGGCTGGATGGACATGTCCTCAGTGAGAAGCATTGAACGGGCTGGAACCACTGGCAGATTGGGGAAGCCAAGTTTAAAGGTTGAAGAATCAAGCCTTGTTGATGCTAGGATACATAGAACTTGGAGAATCATAGAGAGAATGAAGGATCCCTTGTAAAGTTCTTCAGTTCTTGTGATTTGAAAATTTGAAGACCGTTGGATATCGTTCGGTCTTCAAGGCTTTGCATGGCATAAAGCATCATAAAACAAAACTGTTTGTGGCTTGGCCAAGGTCGTGCTGTGATTGAGTTCACTGTGAAACGTGGCCCTGAAGCAGGAACAAAAGTGTCAGAAGCCTCAGATCATCTCCAGTGATGGTGCGCCCAGGACATTTTTTTTGTGCTGTATGGCAGGTGTATGGGGACTCTGAGCCCAGCATTTAGTCAGACAGACGCCTGCACCACGTGTATTGGTAAGATTATTTTTTATGTATGTGTATCGTGCACGCGCACACGCATACACACACTCACACGTAGTACATATATATATATATATATTTATTTATTATTTAATTACATAAATTATACTATATATATATTATTATATATATTATAATATTATAATATATTATATGGATATAAATTTATATATATATACATATCATATATATATATATGTGTGTGTATTATTTGCATATATATATATATATATCCTATACACATTATGACCCCAGTTTCTACCAGAGCTAAATAGTAAAACCGGCTGTTTGGAATGAGTTTTGTGTTCAGTTTTGCTCACAAGTTGCAAGGTATTCTCTCGACTCAGAGTTGTATAACGAGGCCAGCACCCTGTGCTGCTGGGCTCAAATGTCGGTGGGATTGAAAATGCCGATTACATCACTCCTCGGAACTGCCAACACGACCTTTCTACCGCTCTACACTCTGGTGGCCATTCCTTCCATGATGTTTTGATATGTGTTGATGCAATTTGCCCGGTAGAATTGTTTGGAAAGGCTCCGGCCGTATTCAACGGAGCTTGTTGATTGGATTGGTTATTCCATTGATTCAATATGTTTGTGCTTATAGTTCTGTTGTAACTTGCTGGGTCCTTGCAGGCGAAGTTTAAGTTGACCGTAGACGGCTGGTCTTCCCCCTTGTCAGTACATGGCCTCAGACTGGCGCGGAGAATTCACCGCGGGTTGCAGCTGTACCCAGCTGTGATGATTTGCTTTACAGCAATGGGATGCAATTGGAACAAACACATACTAGGGGGATCTAGGGGGTTGTTTCGTTTGTGCCTGAAGCATGTGCAAAGAGCACTTCAAAAGGGGAAACCCGGGTGAATGATGAAGATGTCGGATGGAATTGGTGAGGCTGGAGATTTTGTGGATCTCGTGCAGCGGGGCTTTTACGACGGGCCTGGAGCTCTGGTGTATTGAGGGGCTGTGGGGCCTATGGGGGCTTTCTGAGTCTTGAGAGTTGGTGAAAACCAGTTTCATCCTTTCTGGCTGATCGTTGCTGACCTGTTATTCGACAAACTCTGCATTTGCAAGCTTATTTATATTATTGTACTATATTGTACTCGTATTTGTTATGATGCATGATGTTGACCCTCCCTCAGTCACAAGCCTTCACAGCTCAGGATGCCCATTCAGCGTGCAGATGGCTTTATTATTCAGCTGGCATCCCTAGCTAGTTCCGGCTGTGCTTAGAACATGATACAACACCAATGGACACTGATCCCTCTAGGCCGCACTTGCCCACAGATGAGATAGTCAACCTGCTTCCAGTTGCGCAGCACACATATATATGTGATTATGTATAGTGTATACTGTATATACGTATGTTATTGTCTATGAGTCTATATTGATTTCTATACTTAGCATCTTTTGACCTGGTGTCCTCTCCCTCTACCTATTTTCTCAGGACAGGAGATCCTGGCCCAGAGAAGGGCGGTGGATTCCAACCAACACCAGGTGGCCCTGCCTGAATCTGAGCTGGGCGCAGTATGGCACTGCGATGCACAGCGCGGATTTTCGAGAACTTGACCACACCATAGCACGCTATGCCATGCTATTCTCGCCTGAGGTGAGGCTGATCCCATTGGAAGTCGGTATCCGTGGTCGACCGGAGGACTGCCACAAATGCCACAGCGATTGGTCGCTTTGTTGCCAAGCACTTTGCATAGGCCGATCATGCAACACCTGGGTAGAAGTCGATAGAAGCAGATTATTTTCCAACGTTCTGGTGTTCAGATATGTTCGGTTTGGTGCAGACCCTCTACGGCGAGACAGTGGATGAAGCCCGCCTCGTCGGAAAGGAGGTGAAGATCCCTTTCCAGGTGCAAGGATCACAGCTGGGCGCATTGCATGTTTCAGCACGGAAGAAACCAAAAGCATTTCTGTATGAAACAAAACTTGTCTGAACACTTCTGCAGTCTTTATCCTGAGGACTCCTGAGGAATTCAGTTTGTTGCGCATTGTTTCGAACATCCAGGCAGATGGAACCGTGGCATTGGCGCGCAGGGAGTTTGACAACGACACAGTGCTACACACAGAATATATCTCAACAGTTGATGGTCAATAGCACATACCAGTCAAAATAGATCAAAATAGGTCAAAATAGATCAGAATATTATTATATATTATTAGAATATAGTACTAGCCAGTTTTCAGCAGAAGATTCTGAGTTGCAAGGGATTTCATAGTAATTCAGTTGTGGGCAGTGCTATTTGAGAAGGTGTTGAGACATGTTCAGACACTGTTCTGCGTTCAAATGGCATTCAATGGTAGGCCCAATAATGTGCATCAATTCAGCAGTTTGCACCAATAAGGCATCTTCGCAGGTCTTCTTCTTCCTCTTTGAATCGGTTGGATGGCCCGGCTTAGTTTTCAAACTGTCAAGGACATTCAAGCCCTTTCCTTTTCTCACACCAATGTTTACACTTGATTTGACTCAAGGAGTATGGAGACATAAGGAGACAGTGGCAGATCCAATGACTGGCAGATTGGATCTTTTTGACGGCAAAAACAGTTTGCCATTTGCAAGTACTTTGTGGTTGATAGATTGACACGTGCTACTAGAATAATGTTCTTGAATGCACTCAGTCATTTGGCAAACAGCCTTATGGTTCCTGCCTGTGGATGGGCTTATGCAAGAGTCAAGAGTAAGCAGCCATTTTGGCACACTGATAGACCGGAGAATCATGACCCAACAGATGTTGGCTATCTAGCAGCTGTAGCATGCTTGAACTTTCAGTCCTATCATGAGTTTGTGCACTTGCAATTCCGCTCAATGTAGGTTATCAGGGTGGGGTGGCAGATTCGTGGCAGATTCTTTCTTTGGTGCATCGATCCAACTAGCACAGGGCCTACTTGAATAGTTTTGGAAACTACTATGCAACCCTCAGCTGAAGCAAAAGCTGATCATGCAAATCTGGTAGGAGGCAGCTTCTCAGATGCCACTACAAGTAGCCTATACCGATCGCAGGTTAAACAAACATATTAAAAGAACAGGGCGTTCCCAGCCACTGACTGCTGCCTTTGACGAACTTCAAGCATCACAATGGCTGCTTGGAGATGGTAGCGAGTGGACCCAGGGACTCTTTGCAGGTTTCATCCAGCGTCATTCAATTCATAGCAGTCCACACAGGTATCCGGTATCCAGGTATCAACACTATCTTCCAAAGGATGACTTGAAACTGATTTGTCAAGATTGCTGGCCACTGGCAGCACGGATTGTTGGAATCATGCCACGTTCAACGTGCAACTGTTCTAGAACCTGGACCTAAGCCCTCTATAGGAAACACCCAAAGTGCCAGACTGATGCTGAGTGAGGCTCCTACTCGTAGACTCTTGTTTGCACTTTTGGGTCTTCAAAAGACAAGCTTCTTGGTTGAATTGGCAGAACTTGGGCACCACGAAAACTGGAAACCTCCCCATGTTGATTTATATACTGTAATCTGTTGCCTCATCTTCCACAGCATTCAGATTTGCCTCATCTAAGTTGAGCAAGAAGCACGGTCGCACTGCAGGAACACTAGTTAGTCACTAGTTGCTGACCGTATATACAGTAATACACACATACGTACGTCGTACTTACATATACATAATCATACAATATCATACATACATTCAATCAAATTGATTGTGTTAATTGTGACTTCGTTTTATACGGGTTTGTTTGTGTTGGGTTTCTGTGCGTTGGCGTTGGTCATCCCCTCAAGACTGCCCAAGGTGGATTCGACATCGATGGTTGCACCAGCATCATGGTTGCAGAGCCCTGGCCAGAGGACACATTTCGATGACAGTTCAGGCCGCAACAAGGAAGCAGCCTATCCACTCGCTGTAAGGCATCATTGTCAATGCTGATGCAATGGTGGACGGATCAGCCGTTGCCTCGCATGCCAATGATTGTGCAGCTTCTTGACTTTTGAGAAGCTGTGCGTTGGTGCATTTACTGTTTGTGCTGTGCCCTTACAAACGTCAACGGTAGTTGGTTGTAGTTGAATGTAGTTGACCTTTGGCATTCTAGGAATTCTCGTGCGGTACTAAAAGTGATCGGGGGCATTGGGCGGTGCAATGATTTCTCTCAAAGCTGTGTAGTTTGTTGCAGTCCTGAGGATTGTGACTGGCGAGTTGTCTACGTCCCAGTTCCTTGACCAGACATGACGTTGGAAAGACCGAACACATCACCTGATGTCACCTGCCTCATTGTGGACTGGAGTATCAAATGGTGCTCGCATTTTATGATGTTCTATACACTCACTAATATTATCTAATACTATTTAGTCTCTTTCGTGGTCCTGCAACTTCATCGCCAAGTTGTTGGATGTTTTGAAAGGATTTTATCACACTTTTCAAAGGTAGATTTATGTAGGTTTCACGGGAGGAGAACAAAAAAGTTGTTGTTTTTGCATTCGCAGGCGAAGGACCATCCAAAAGGATCGGCAACTTGATTCAAAAGGATTGCAAGATAGAAAGGGCACAATTGAATGGTAAGCAATGGGTCCAGGGCTTGCTTTATCAATGCGAATTTGCGTTGGTTGCAGACTAGCCCAACTTTGCAGAGATGGACTGGCGATGCTGCAATGTAAAGGAGAGTAGATGAGGCAGCAGATCTTGTGTGATGTTTAAAATTGTTTACATAGATTTAAATAGATATTATATATGATTATATTCTATAAATACATTCTACGGATTCATTTTGGTTGACTTAAAATCCACGGGTTGCAGCTGAGATGCGGTGAGACCTGAGGAGCGGATGATCTACGATGGCGTGTGGAGCCAATATCCCAGGCTTGTGGACCCGTCACGCTTCTCGGATGCCACAGATTTCTATATATAAAGTGGGTAAATATTGATATATAATGTTGGCTGCCTAATAATAAATACCCCCCCTATTTATTTTTTTTAGGGGGGGGGTCAACTTTCCTATAATAATCTATTTGTGGGAATCTATAGCTGGGATCTATAATCTGATAGATTCTCCATGGTTTTGTTGGGTTTCTGAAAGATTCTGAATGGATTTGGTTGGGTTTCTGATAGATAGGGTATGGATTTTGCATGGATTAGGGTTAGTTTCTGTTAGATTCTGCGTGGGTTTGGTTTGGTTTCTGTTAGAATCTGCATAGGATTTGGTTGGATTAGGGTTGGTTTCTGTTAGATTCTGCATGGATTTGGTTTGGTTTCTGTTAGAATCTGCATAGGATTTGGTTGGATTTCTGAGATGTTCTGCATGGATTCTGCTTAGTCTTGGTGAAGTTTCTGGTGGATTTCTGAGATGTTCTGCATGTAGCACTCGGGCTCCTCTGGCCTTTCTGTCTGTGTGTCTCTGTCTTCACCTCTGATCTGGACTCTGCGCCTGCTGAGTACAGCCCTGATGTACAGCACAGGGTCTGTACGAAAGCTCTGGTCCAGCTCCAGAAAGAAATTTCTGGATATCGAGCTGGCAAAGATGGGCGTGGGTATGTGCACTCCTCTGGGGAGTGCACATACGCAGTTCTGAAATCTCGTCTGAGGTGGGAGTTGCTTGGATGCAAGGGTTCTGGACTTTGCATGGGTTTGATGAGTTAATTAATTATTGGGATTGGTTTCTGGTGGGAAGCTCTTGGATATGGGGTTGTTTTCTGGGTTTTTATTCTGCATGGATTCCTGGGCTTGCTGAAGCTGGAATCCTATCTGTCTGCTGGTGGCCCTGCCCTTCTGTGGAAGTGGATGCAGACTGCTGCTGAGTGGCTGTATGAGTCAATTGACTCTGGCACCAGCAGCCTGAATCTGGCAGCTGTTCTGCGCAATCTGAAGGTGGTCTGGACTGAGCTTCCTGGCTGGGGGAGGGGGTTATGCATGGGGTTTTGTTAAGATTCTGATGGATTTTTGTTGAAGTTCTGATGGGTTCTGCATAGGAATTGTTGAGATTCTGACGTTGTTGAAGTTCTAATGGATTCTGATGGATTTTTGTTGAAGTTCTGATGGGTTCTGCATAGGAATTGTTGAGATTCTGATGGATTTTTGTTGAAGTTCTAATGGATTCTGATGGATTTTTGTTGAAGTTCTGATGGGTTCTGCATAGGTATTGTTGAGATTCTTATGGATTTTTGTTGAAGTTCTAATGGATTCTGCATGGTTTTGTTGAGATTCTGATTGGTTATGTATGGATTTTGGTGGAAATCTGATGGAGTCTGCATGGATTTGATGAAATCTCAAAGTTCCTGCATGGATTTGTTTGGTTTTCTGATGTGCTCTGCATGGATTTACTTGTATCTCTGGCAGGGTGTTCTGATAGGTTTCTGATAGATTATCCATTGTCTCTGTGGGTCTGTGGGCACACTAAGGGTGATCTGCTTCACTGCCTCTGAAGTCTCTGTGAAGCCTATGGACGTGATCCTGCCAGAGCCATATGCTCTGTGGGAGCTCTGGATCAAGAGCTGCTACTTGACTTATATGATATATGTTTTACTATTTCTTATATATCATATACTATATATATGTGATATTTGGTACTATATATTTATATACATATACATACATACATACATACATACATACACACACATATATATATACCAGATGATATTAGATAATATTGTATATATATATATATGTTAAATTAAATATTTTATACCTTATGTTCTGTCATTTTGTATGGGTTGCTTTGCTGATATTTAAATCTATATCTCTCTGTCTCTTTCTTTTTTAAATATAACTCATGTGGCTTCTGCCCAGGCTATAAGGAGACTCTGGCCCATATGACCTACATTCTGGAGCTCGCTGAAGCAAAGGGGAAGGATTCTGATGCTCTGGTGGCTCAGGCCTGGTATGTTTTATGCTGATGAATTTTGCATGGATTGTGTTGAGACTCTGATGGATTTTTGTTGAAGTTCTGATGGGTTCTGCATAGGAATTGTTGAGATTCTGATGGATTTTTGTTGAAGTTCTAATGGATTCTGATGGATTTTTGTTGAAGTTCTGATGGGTTCTGCATAGGTATTGTTGAGATTCTGATGGATTTTTGTTGAAGATCTGATGGGTTCTGCATAGGAATTGTTGAGACTCTGATGGATTTTTGTTGAAGTTCTGATGGATTCTGCATAGGAATTGTTGTGATTCTGATGGATTTTTGTTGGATTCTGCATTGCCCTGTGTCTTCATGGCAGGTGGAGTGGCCCAACGAAGATCTGAAGCCTCTGCCACTATCTGATGCTGCCAAGGAGTCCATGCAGAGGAGGAGGGAGGCTCTGATGTGAGGCTCTGATGCTGGCCTGTGCTGCTTTGCTGGTCTGGTAAAGGAGCCTCGGCTTTCTTTAGTGTCTGAATGGTCTTCTCATATGGTTCTGTGATGTTTTCTTCTGATTTCTAAATGTCTTCTGCTGGGTTCTGATTGTGTTGTGGTCGGTCTTCATGGGGTTCTGTGAGTGGAATGTTTGTGAGATGGTTTTCTGTTGACCCCAGGGTCTGGCTGCAGCACTGCGCTATGCTGCTGGGCTTCTGAGCCTGCGAACCTCTGTACAGCTGATTTGAGCCTCTGTACACCTACTTTTGGAGTTCTGAGTAGTTCAATTAGTTGAATTAGTAAATCATGCTAATTAATAACCATTCATTACATAACTAAGTAATGGCCATGACACCTGCTAATTAGTAATGATATCATATCTGTGTTGATCTGATCATCTGTTTTTGATCTGCTTGGATGATTTTGAAAGCTGATGCTGCCATAGGGTGGATGCCATTGGATCTGTGATAAAACATAGTTAGCAAGTAAATAAATACATAAATATATGTATATATATATAGTTATAATTATTTGACTTCAGAAATATATCAATAATCTGAAGGTGTTTTCTGATCCAATGGCTGCCATTCTGTGTATCTCTGCTGTGCCTCTGTGGCCTTTCTGCTGCTGATCGATCTGATTGCCTGGCAAGCATCTGTGGCTGCAAAAGCTTCTGCATGGATTCTGCGCCTTGGGGGTGTGGTTTCTGATAGGTTTCTGATAGGTTTTTGAAAAGGGTTTTGCTTTACTTTGCTTTCTCCAAACATCTGAAAACAAAACCAGGGGAAGCACCATTGGAATTCATTATTGCCATGCCTGGTGCAAGTTTATTATTGCTATTCTGGGGCTTGTAAAGGGGATACCCTTTGTGGACCTGTTTTTTGGCTTTTTTAAATAAGGGTTTTATAAGGAAATCAGCTGTTTGGTAATTGGATCAGATTTCTGGAATCTAAGCTTTTGTTAATGAAAAGTGCTTGCTGCTTTGAAAAGGGTTTTGCTTTACTTTGCTTTCTCCAAACATCTGAAAGCAAAACCAGGGGAAGCACCATTGGAATTCATTATTGCCATGCCTGTTGCAGGTTTATTATTGCTATTCTGGGGCGTGTAAAGGGGATACCCTTTGTGGACCTGTTTTTTGGCTTTTTTTAATAAGGGTTTTATAAGGAAATCAGCTGTTTGGTAATTGGATCAGATTCCTGGAATCTAAGCTTTTGTTAATGAAAAGTGCTTGCTGCTTTGAAAAGGGTTTTGCTTTACTTTGCTTTCTCCAAACATCTGAAAACAAAACCAGGGGAAGCACCATTGGAATTCATTATTGCCATGCCTGGTGCGAGTTTATTATTGCTATTCTGGGGCTTGTAAAGGGGATACCCTTTGTGGACATGTTTTTTTGGCTTTTTTAATAAGGGTTTTATAAGGAAATCAGCTGTTTTGGTAATTGGATCAGATTTCTGGAATCTAAGCTTTTGTTAATGAAAAGTGCTTGCTGCTTTGAAAAGGGTTTTGCTTTACTTTGCTTTCCCCAAACATCTGAAAACAAAACCAGGGGAAGCACCATTGGAATTCATTATTGCCATGCCTGGTGCAGGTTTATTATTGCTATTCTGGGGCGTGTAAAGGGGATACCCTTTGTGGACATGTTTTTTTGGCTTTTTTAAATAAGGGTTTTATAAGGAAATCAGCTGTTTGGTAATTGGATCAGATTTCTGGAATCTAAGCTTTTGTTAATGAAAAGTGCTTGCTGCTTTGAAAAGGGTTTTGCTTTACTTTGCTTTCCCCAAACATCTGAAAACAAAACCACGGGAAGCACCATTGGAATTCATTATTGCCATGCCTGGTGCAGGTTTATTATTGCTATTCTGGGGCTTGTAAAGGGGATACCCTTTGTGGACCTGTTTTTTTGCTTTTTTAATAAGGGTTTTATAAGGAAATCAGCTGTTTGGTAATTGGATCAGATTTCTGGAATCTAAGCTTTTGTTAATGAAAAGTGCTTGCTGCTTTGAAAAGGGTTTTGCTTTACTTTGCTTTCTCCAAACATCTGAAAACAAAACCAGGGGAAGCACCATTGGAATTCATTATTGCCATGCCTGGTGCAGGTTTATTATTGCTATTCTGGGGCTTGTAAAGGGGATACCCTTTGTGGACCTGTTTTTTTGGCTTTTTTAATAAGGGTTTTATAAGGAAATCAGCTGTTTTGGTAATTGGATCAGATTTCTGGAATCTAAGCTTTTGTTAATGAAAAGTGCTTGCTGCTTTGAAAAGGGTTTTGCTTTACTTTGCTTTCCCCAAACATCTGAAAACAAAACCAGGGGAAGCACCATTGGAATTCATTATTGCCATGCCTGGTGCAGGTTTATTATTGCTATTCTGGGGCGTGTAAAGGGGATACCCTTTGTGGACATGTTTTTTTGGCTTTTTTAAATAAGGGTTTTATAAGGAAATCAGCTGTTTGGTAATTGGATCAGATTTCTGGAATCTAAGCTTTTGTTAATGAAAAGTGCTTGCTGCTTTGAAAAGGGTTTTGCTTTACTTTGCTTTCCCCAAACATCTGAAAACAAAACCACGGGAAGCACCATTGGAATTCATTATTGCCATGCCTGGTGCAGGTTTATTATTGCTATTCTGGGGCTTGTAAAGGGGATACCCTTTGTGGACCTGTTTTTTGGCTTTTTTTAATAAGGGTTTTATAAGG